CATTGAAGAGGGAAGAGTAGAGATGAGCACTTAATCTCAATCTCATGCTAAACCACAGGTTTATTCTGCACATGTGGACACCTTACTGTACATATTGTACTTTCTGTAACTCCTACTGCACATCTTGCATATCTGGACACTCCACACCTAGACACTATATATTTCAGTACCAATATATGCACATATTTATTCAGTATTGTCATTATATGCTGTTATTGCACTGCCTTTTTCATCTCAGGTTATAGATCTTACTGCAGATTTTTGTATATGTATATTTGTATATATGTCTGTAGATAGGTTTTTTGTATTTATTCTTCTTTTTACATTGTTTCACCCTTATTATTATTATTACTGTCCTGTGTTGTGTGACTGCTAAATTTCCTTCGGGATGAATAAAGTACCTATCTATCTATCTAACCTATCTATCTATCTGAAGAACCCTTTGACCATGCAAAGGGCTCTGAGTGTTCACGGTTCTATATAGAACGTTTTTTTACTGAAGAAACATCCTTTTCAAGTGTGCAGTGAATGGAAAACTGACCATCTTTGTCCACTGTCTATAGCACTATCCAGTTAACCCACTGTCGCTTCTGTTCCAAAGGGCTGTTTCCTCAAATTAAAGCTACATTTGCGTGACTGTTCTGGTACAAAAGTGCTCCTTTAGGCACGTTACAAATGTTCTCTCGATACGTTTTGTTCTAATAAGCAAGCTGGGCAGCAATTTGTGATTTTTCAGAAGTCGCAGCACCAGTTAACGTTAGCATCTGCTAACCAACGTTACAAAACAAAGCTCCGCTAACGGTAGCGTCCACAGTCATTCTCTACCAGACTCGGCTAATGCTAACGGTAGCGTCCACAGTCATTCTCTACCAGACTCGGTTAATGCTAACGGTAGCGTCCACAGTCATTCTCTACCAGACTCGGCTAATGCTAACGGTAGCGTCCACAGTCATTCTCTACCAGACTCGGCTAATGCTAACGGTAGCGTCCACAGTCATTCTCTATCAGACTCGGCTAATGCTAACGGTAGCGTCCACAGTCATTCTCTACCAGACTCGGCTAATGCTAACGGTAGCATCCACCTATTGATTCTCTATAGATTCGGCTAATGCTAACCTGCCGTTAGCACCCATTCATTCTCAGTAGCGTTTAGCAGCGCGCTACTGCAACCAGAGCGGCTCCAGTAAAACACTCACCACAGCCTCGTCGCGATACGCGTTCGGATACTGGAAAGGCATTTTTCGTAAAAGTAAGGCTTTTACGGTAAAACTTCCGCAGCTCGGTCTGCTGAGAGCTTCAGCTGAACGAAAATAAAGAGAGAGTTTGATAGCTGAGTGTTCCCTAACCGGCAGAATAGAGGGGGAAAAACAACGCACGTTTTGTTGGCGCCACCTGCTGTTTGGAGGCAAAAGGGGAATTTTTACGGAGGCTCTAAGGGCCCGTGGTTGAATGCATGTTACGTTGATTATGCGTTCCGTCGCAATAATTTTGCATTCCCTTGCAAATGTACGGAGCCCTACGGAGCCCCGCTGGTGACATCCTGTATAAATAAAAATAATACGTGGCCACGACTTAGTAAAGCGTGGGAAAGAGATCCTAATGCGTTGCCACGACTAAGTAAGCCGTGATCTCGTTCCCACGCTTTACTAAGTCGTGGCCACGACTTAATCATCCCATTCCCACGCCTTACTAAGTCGAGTCTTACTAAGAGCCCCACTGGTGACATCCTGTATAAATAAAAATAATGTGTGGCCTTATTAATGCGTGGGAATGAGATCCCAATGCGTGGCCAGGACTTAGTAAGGTGTGGGAATGAGATGATTAAGTCGTGGTCACGCACTAGGATCTCGTTCCCACGCTTTACTAAGTCGTGGCCACGACTTAATCATCTCATTCCCACGACTTACTAAGTCGTGGCCACGCACTATTTTTATTTATATAGGGTGTCGCCAGCGGGGCTCCAGAGGGGGGGCTTTGCGTTCCCTCACAATAACTGGATTTTGCAATGGAACACAAAACTTTAGCAAGCGAATGCAAACGTTTTGCGACGGAACACAATGGCTTTGCAATTTTTTTCCACAAAGGCACTTTAGGGGCTCCGTAGCAAATATACAAGGCTACTTAACTGTGTTATCAACATTTTCTCTCTGTAACAAACATGTCTTACTTTTGTTTCAGGAGTAAAATTCACTGGAGAGGAAAATGTTTATAGGAACATTTATCTGAGAACCTTTTTTTTCACTCTGGGTCCCTTATTAAGGACTCCATTTAAAGGGCCTGTATACTCTTAAAGGGCCCATATTGTTTAATACCAAATTTTCTTCACTTTTTTTGAGATAATAGACATTATATGTAAACATGAATAAAATGTTAAAACATAATGTTCACTCCTCAGTCCGTGTATGAGATCTACAGTGCAATTACAGACTGTTTTTTTTTTTTGGAATCCATTGTTCTTGTGATGTCACGAAAACCAGACACAATGGTAAACATCTGCCTGATTGGCATACAGCCACCCAATCCACATTCAAGTTTTAAGGAGTATTTCAGCCTGGACTGCTTTTTTAGGAGGCACAATAGAGACAAGCTAGTCAGAATAGAGTTTGTTTACATATATACGTCCTAAAGGCACAGTTACATAAAACAGCCCGTCTGATTGTAAGAGAAAAGGGGTCGGAAAGTTGGAAAATGGTCATGTAAAGAGTAGAAATGAATTATTACAGTTTTTTGTATATGAAAAATAAATAAATGCAAGAAAATGCATTTTAAAAATAAAATGCAAAAAAATGTAGGATATCGGCCCTTTAAAATAAAAAAATTGAAGGTTCTTTAGTAAAAACAATAGTTATATATAGAACTGTGAAAAGTCAAAGAAACATTTGACTGCATAAATGAATGCATGGTTAAATAACTCTATAAGACGGACAACCTGGTGTATATGCTTCAGAGAACCTTTTTTAAAAGGGTTCCATATAGCACTAAATAGGGTCCCCAGCGCTCATGTTTCCTGCGGAAGGCAGGAAACCCCTTGGGCAGGTCGCCAGTCCTTCACAGGACTGACATACATACACATTCACACCTAGGACACCACACCACGTGGAGTACATGCAAACTCCACACAGAAAGGACCCTGGTCGCCCAGCCGGGGAATCAAACCCAGACCCACTGAATCTTCATTAGTAGAGCCTTTTTTGCTAACAGTGTACATTTTTGTATGGGTGGTTTTACATCATACTTCATTTTTTACATGACCATTTTCCAACTTTAAGATTGGGTTATGTAAATGAGCTGTGCTTTGATTGGCTGTCCTGTATCATGCCTCATTCAAAAAGCAGGCCTGGATGAAATGCTCCTTGTAACCTTTGCATGAATGACCGTGGCCTAAATGGCGTGAGCTGAATAGGTAGATAAGTGTAAATGTGCTCGTTTTTGTGACATCACAAAACCAGTGAATTCAAATGAGCTCAGTTTCCATATATGGACTGTATGGACTGGGGAATGAATGGTCTATTTTAAACTTCGACATTGGTAAACGCCGCATTAAAAAAGCATGGAAAGTGAGGTTTCCTATGATACAGGCCCGTTAAGCCCCAAATGTAATAAGAGCGAAAGGTTAAAGTAATAGTCATATTGATAAAATGCATGTGCAGCTAAGTCAAAACGCAAGTATATAAATATTCAGTAGCTGATGTGACAGTGAAAGAGAAAGAGACACAGCTGATGTAATCTGTGACTTTGTTCCCGGCCTTCTGTGGTTGTGAGCTGCGACAATTGAGGCAGAAAACAACTGAAACTGCCTGTCTGTGAGCAAAAGCAGACATTGAGTTTGAAGTGGCAAAAGACGACAGCAGTGATGAGTGGAAACAAAAGGTCAAATTTACAGAGATCACATTGTCAGATACCCAAACAAACTGTGCATTTACTGTGTAACACGTTCAGTGTAGTTTGTTCCCTTAGGACAAAGAACTACAGGGTGTTCTAGAGGATTTTCATCCACTTTATTCTGACAACTGTCTTCCGAGATTATGGCTGAAATGTCTGGTTGGGGAGCGGAAGTGTCGCTCGTTAGTGTTTTTGCGAAGTCATAGAATGTGTGCTTACTATTTAAGGTATCGTTTTGTCATAGTAAATGTCTCTGAGGCTTTTCTGGGACAACGTGCAGTTTGTGGCTATCACTACAGCTGAGTGAAGATGAAAGTACAACAAGAGCAGCAATGTTGCGAGCATGTGAATGTCATGTGAATGTGGCTTCAGAAAGACTGCTTGAAAAATCCCAGTTGTCAGCATTGAAATCTGTGTCCATACAATGCGACCAGATGACAGACTGCCAGTTGAAACTCACTGGTTGACGCTAACGGACTCTTTTTTTTGTTTGTTTTACACGTTATATTCTCTTTATAACTGGATTTATTCTGCCCTCCCCATATGGAAAAAAAGACATGGACATATATTTTTCTATATTTGAAATGCATTGCAGTCCATGCTGAAATACATTCCACTAAAATGTTTTTTCTGAATATATCGCCATATTAACCACATATATGTATGGGGAAATATTACACACAGAAGTGTGCCGTACAAAAATAAATATATGTGAGTGTATTTATCAAAAACATTTGAAAACGTATTAAAATAGCCAAAATACTGTCTATTGCACTGTTTACTGTTTGATACCTTCTGAAATGAATTTGTGTTCCAGTATCTTCATTTTAAATATTAGAAAATGAACTTTTAACATGACAAAAGTGAGTGTTGTAGGTATTGATATGCAGCAGAAAATGCAGTTATGATTTGATATCTTGTTTATTTGAAATACATTGTGTGTGAGTGTCTTACTGTATATCGCTGTTGTTGGAAGAAAACCTCATATCTCCAAAATGGTAACTTTACAGGAAAAGGAAAAAACCTACTTTACTTTTCATGTAAGTCAATGGAACCAGACTTTTTTCCAAGTCATTTTGGGCCGTTTCTTTTGGTCCATTCATCATGAAATTTCCAAACAATGTAAAGGGAAACAGGCATTTTCAAATTATGTAAAAAACTGAAAAAAGCCAAAAATGGAGATACGAGGTTTTCTTCCAGCGATATGTATATTGTTAATGCAAAGTCAGTAACATTCATTCGGTTCATGTGTGTTTATTTATTCCTGCAGCCTTTGTTAAAACTACATACAACTCAAAGAATATAATTACAAATACAAATGAATGCATTTTGAAATATGTTTAAGAAATACATTTTTGGCCATTATCTTACATCGCAAAAATGTATTAAATAAATACATTTGGAACATAATTTTTGTCCATATGTGTCGCTAGAGTAGGCCGAGCAGGTAGCAGAAAACTAAATAGCTAACGCTAAAAGACAGACTTCAAGTTCAAGCCTTTAAAGAAGGAGTTACTTAAAAACCAAGACATATAATGAATTGAATGTTACTTAAACTACAGCTGACATCAAAATCTAATGACATCTTGACACTAACAAACAGTGAACATACGAGAGGCATCATCTAAGCGCTGATCTACATTAGATATTGCTATGCAAATGCATTGTTTTTGTGCTTTTCTGCCTGTTTCTGACTTGCACAATGTCTATGCACAAACGAAAAGCTGAAATGACTTTGTTCACATGAATACTTATAGGCTATACAGAGGATCCTCTGACTGAAGTGGGTCATTCACACAGGTAATTCAGGTAGTTCACACAATTCGCTGATTGGTTCTGTCAATATTGTGCCACCACGTCCTGCTGCGTTATTTCAAACCCGAAAACAATCAAATAAGTTCAATTTGCTCACACAGACGGCAAATAAATGTAAGCAGCGCACGATTTTTAAATCCACCCCTCAATAAACATTAAATCTTCAGTCTAGCACGCTGGTTAGCATTCGTTCACCACAGAACAGGTTTGGTTCTGACTAACAAAAGCTTTACTGACACAAATTTAGATGATAATGACTTAAATCTGAGGGAGTGAAGTCGAGTGGCTGATGTTTAAGGAATAGAAAGACGAAATTAAACCTCTTCTCTGGTGTCTGGAGCAGGAGCCTCCTAACTAAGCTGCCACTAGGGTCCTGCTAGCTAACTTAGCTTAGCTAAAGAGATCCAAACACCCCAGGTTAGATTTGACTAACCGGTGCTCTGCTATCACAATTATAGATAATAAAAACTACAACAGAAAACTGAAAACAGTGAGAGCAAAGTTGACTGATCAGTGCTGGAGTGACAGAAAGCTGAAATCAGACTTGTTCTGTAGTGCTTTAATCTGTAGCCTGCTAGGCTAAGCTAATGCGAGTGTATCGTGCTTCCCACTACAGTACGGGCTCGGTTCTAGTGAACCAATGATTAAAAATACCTTTTTGGAGGATAAGGACTTATATCTGAGAGCACAACTTTAAATGACTGGCGTTGAAGTGACAGAAAGTTTAAAAAATATAACTAATGCTAGTGTAGTTAGCCAGCTACAGGTGAAACACACTGCAGTACAGGCTGTTTCAGTAATTGGTGTTCAGATAAAGAATCTGAGAGGACATCAAGAGACTGGAGTTGGGGTGAGAGACCGAATCAAACATGATTTGTGGTGGGTGGTGTGTGCATAGCTATTAGCCTGTAAGCAGTTTGCCACTTGTTCGTGAGGTTTTCTTCAGTATTTCCTGGTTCTGATTTAGCAACACAACAGATGGAAAAAGAAAGTAGTCCAGACCAACAAGGAACGGCCCAGTACAGCCCTGAGAACCATTTGGCTTGACAGTGGAAAAGAGGCCTGTATGTTCAAAAGTCTGTAGATGTCAGGTACTGATTTTGGCTGATTAATTCTGGATAGCAACTATCACTCCAACTCATCCCCAAGGTATCGGATGGAGCTTCATCACGCCAGAGAACCCAGTTCCACTGCTCCTCTACCCGTTGTGGGGGGCTTTATACATTTGTCTCCTTTGACTGTATGGTTTTCTCAAAACAGCGAACCATACTGTTTACATAAATAACTGAGTTAAGCACACCTGGCTCAAGTGTTAGCTTCAGCATTAGCTCATTTGAAGGAGCAGTCATCACTTAAAGCCCCCACAGCCGACACGAAAACCTACTGCGTTAACGTCCAGTGGCTAAAACTTTCTCTCGTTTTCAGTGATATTGACATGTTTTCCACAATTCTTTTTGCTCTAAACATTCATATTTTTATTACATTCATATTTTCTCAATTGTCCCTATATGGCCAAAAGTATGTGGACACCTGACCATCAGACCTGTTTGAGCCCTGTATGACATCCCATTCCAAAACCAAGGCCATTGATATGGAGCTATAACAGCCTCCATTCTTCTGGGATTTTGAAGTGTGTATGTGGGAATTTGTGCCCATTCAGCCAAATGAGCTGATGTGAGGTCAGGCACTGATGTTCACAATTGACATTTCCAAACCTAGATTCATCCGTCAGACAGACAGTGAAGTGTGATTCATCACTCCAGAGAAAAAGTTTCCACTGTCGACGCTTGGCTTTGCACATAGTGATAAGGCTTGTGTACAGCTGCTCAGCCATTGAAACCATTTTAATGAACTTCCCGACGCACAGTTATTGTGCTGACGTTGCTTCCAGAGGCAGTTTGGAACTCTGTAACAGAGAAGCCCCGTGAGTTTGCATTGTCTGTCACTTAATGGCTGAGCTGTTGCTGCTCCGAAATGCTTCCAATTCACAATAATAGCACTTACAGTTGACTGGGGCAGATCTAGCAGGGCAGAAATTTCATGAACTGAAAGACGGCCTCCTATGCCACATTTCAAATCAGTGAGTTCTTCAGTGCGACCCGTTCTACTGCCAGGGTTTGTCTATGGAGATTGCATGACTAAGTGCTTGATTTTATACACCTGTGTGGCTGAAACAACTGAGCTCAATAATTAGGACCATCAGCCAACACTAGAGTCATAGGTCGTGGAGTATTGTGGTAGTATTGTACTATAAAATTATTATTCTTCCTTATAGTCTTACCATAGAGATAAGCCTTGTTTCTTCACCAAAACCATCTTGACATCTCCATGAGTGAAAATGCTTTGCCCCCAAAAACTGCAGCTTTTTCCTAGAAACAGCAAATTCTGAACTTTTGGTTGCTGAGGTGAAGGTTAAGGTGAGTTAGGAGGAGCACAGCAGGACTCGGACACACTCATACAGAAACATACACTCACCAGTACACAGTAGCATGAGTGTGCGTGTGCCTGTCTTTGAGGTCTGGGTTACGGTGTGTGCTCAGAAAAACTGTTCAGTCGGGAAAAGGTCACAGGAAGCAGCAGCGGTTGGTAACAGAGAGAGATAGACAGAGAGAGAGAGAGAGAGAGAGAGAGAGAGAGAGAGAGAGAGAATAGCAATGTTCTCATCATGACTCAGTAATACGAGAACACTCATGTTTTCTCTCCATTACAGCATCAATCATACGTATCCACCTCCAATTGCACAGTTTGTGCATTTTGAAATTTTCATTCTGTGTAGCTTTTTTTATGTATTTTTTACTTCATTTTGTGTGTTATTATAATTTTCAAATAAGTAACACTGTCTGTGAAGGCAAATAAAACAATTCTGATTTCGATTCTGATTCTAATCCTAGTTCTAATTCTGATTTTGATTCTAAATCTGATTTTGATTCTGATTCTAATTCCAAGTCTGACTGTGATTCTGATTCTAAATCAGTTCTCATTCTCACTCTGATTCTCATCCTAAATCTAATTCTAATTCTGGTCTTGATTCTAAATCTGATTCCAATTCTAATTCTGTCTGTGGTTCTGACTCTAAATCTAATTCTCTTCTCATTCTGATTTTGATTCTGATTCTAATTCTAATTCTGACTGTGATTCTGATTCTGATTCGGATTGTGATTTTGATTCTGAATCTGGTTCGGATTCAAATTTTGTATTTAAGTCTGATTCTGATTCTTATTCTGACTCTGATTGCGATTTTGAATTTGATTCTAATTCTGAATTTGAATATGATTCTGATTCTATTTAAACTGTAATTCTAATTGTGATTCCCATATGGATTATAATAACACACTTGTACACACACACATGCGGACATACAAATACACATATGTACACACACACATGGAAAATTAGCAAATAAGTGAAAGTGATTCAAAATCTGATTCTGATTCTAATTTTGTTTTTAACTCAGATTCTGATTCTCATTTTGAATTTGATTCTAATTCTGAATTTGAATGATTTTGATTGTGATTCTAATTATAAAACACATACATTCACACACACACACACACACACACACACGCAAATATGCAAATAAGTGAAAGTGTGTTAAGCAGAGAGAGAGAGAGAGAGAGAGAAGGAGAGGGAGGGGAGTGATGAAAGGAGGAGGAGTGAAAGGGGAGTGGGGGGGCTGTATTAATACCTGAGAGAGACAAACTCCTACACACACACAAACACACACACACTCACACACACACACAGGTGGAGGAGGAAAGGAGGGATAGAAGAGGAGAGAAAAAGAAGAAGAGACGGCACACAGTTTGGCTCGAAAATCACGGTGAGTGTAAAACACATTGATTTGTTAACTCTTTCAACTACAGGCGTAATATTCAGCTATTAATCTAAAGCTGAAATATTCTGTAAGTGTTAAAAAACAAATATGTTACATGGTTACTAGTAAAAGTAGACGTCTGCTCCATTCACTGATACAGCAAGTGAGCTAAACCTCAAAAGTCAGAGTTGTGACCAACCACAGAGCAGTACAGATGCTAAAATCAACATAAGAGAATGAAAGTGAACAGGAAATTAAAAGGCGATTAGTACCTAAATGTTAATGAGTAACATGTAACTGAGAAAAGCGTAGATTTGTATTGTATTTGTATCTGAAAATAAGTTAATTGAGCTGAGTTACTACACACTTCCGAGTAACAGTACTGAAAAGTTAATGTAGTGAGACACAATTACACAAGTATTACACTTAGAAACCCTGTTTAAGTGAAAGTCAGAGTATCTAAACTCAAAAGCCCCTTTAAAGTGACCTAAATAAAGGGGAGTGTGATGTAAAACAGCTGATTTTCTTCAGTTCCGTGTGATTTTTACAGCAGCCCAAAGCTGGTAATGTTTACTTCTGTGACAGATTATGAGGACAAATCTGCATTCATTACAATTTATGTGTAAGTAAGATTTACTGTTATACAGAGTGATATAACAGCATGCATTGCAGGAGAAAGTTTAAAAGTGGGCAAGGTAGCTTTAAAAGTGTTAGGGTAGAAGTTAAAGTCAATACAACACAGATCTAATCAGGATGTCGCAGTCGGCCCTCAGGATACTGTGTATACGTGTAAACGTGTGCTTGGCTTAATTAGTCCTGAAAGAATCACCACAGAAAGGCATGAATGCAGTGAGTTCCACTCTCACTCAAACATCTGCACACAGTTTCACTCTTTCAAACGCTGACATCCTCTCTGCAGGGTGTATGAGCGCGTGTGCGGGTGTGTGTGCGTGTGCGTGTGCTGTGTCATTAAGTTTCACTCTGACTACGGCTCCAACATTCTGAATATTCCCACAGCTGTGACTCATCACATGATCAAACTCGGACCGGCCCTTCCTCTGCGTGTGTGCGTTTGACTCTGTAATATGCAGCTTTCAAAAAATTATTCATATACTAAAGCTGTGCTATAGTAAAACTACTGATATTATTACAAATGATAATAAATAATAAAATAACATTATTGTTTACAATATTGTATTTCTTCATTGCATAATTTATTTACTTGCATATATATATATATATATATATTTATATATGTATATATGTATATGTATATATATATATATGTAAATACATATACACACATGTATAAGTGCTTATATTATGTATTGTAATATGCAGTTTATTTATTATATATATATATATATATATATATATATCATAAATGTTTCCATTTTCGTTGCATTAATTACACATACATGCGTATTTATATTATGGTTATCTCCATTTTTATCATTTTTTTTCATGGCCGCTGTCCTTTACATTGTGATCAAATTCCATGGATGGACCTATAGAAATGTTACATCATGTTACACTAACTTAACTTTAAAAGTTACTTAATAATAACTTAACATTAAAAGTTGAGAATGTTTTTTTCCTTGTCCTGTAAACCATTCTTGAGATACAAGGCGTTTGTCCGATATAAACATATTAATCTGTAATCTGTACATATATAATTTACTGTTTGTTACTCACACTTGAGTAATCGATACACAGAATAGTACATAAAATGTAAAAAACATATTAAAACATAATCAATTACAATCTAAAATGTATACCCAATTTTTATATATTATATTTATTCTCACACATGTACCCTTGTAGAAGTCTGACACATTCAGCAGTTAGAAGAGATGAGTGTGTGTGTGTGTGTGTGTGTGTGTGTGTGCGTGTGTGTGTGTGTTGGGTTTCTGTGACACATCATTCCTCGTCTGTACCACTAAAAAGGGCACACATCGATTTCATTTACTGACACAGCAAGGAAGTGGCTCACACACACACACACACACACATGTTCACAGAGCAGAACACAGAGACCTCAACGTCATTTCTCAATTTACACGTTTGCAAATCTGTAAGGTGGCTGTCTGTGCATTTACTCTGTACTGTTGCTTAACTTAGTAGTAGCACATAATATAATCTTACAGGCCAAACATCAGCCAATCAGCAGAGAGAAACTAAAACACAGACTTTTATACATTTCAGAATGCGTCAGTCATTCGCACAAGAAATATATGAATGCAGGTCGCATGTTTACATGTTCTCCCCGTGTCTGTGTAGGTTTCCTCCCACAGTCCAAACACATGCAGTCAGGTGAACTGGAGATACTAAATCGCCCCTAGGTGTGGGTGTGTGTGTGTGTGTGTCTGCCCTGGCCTGTCCAGGGTGTTTCCTGCCTTCCGCCCAATATACGCTCCAGCACAACCCAGGAGGATAAGCAGCTTAGAAGATGGATGAATAAATAGATTTACTTAAGTACCTAAGGCAGTATACAAGAAGTTGTATGTGTCACTAGATTTGCATTAGTAAGTTTAACAAATGAACAAAGTAAACCAAACAAAAATTAGTTCTATTTTACAGTATAGAGGGGGTGATTGTGAATATTTGAAGGATATGTTGCTCTGAAAGGCTCATTTTTTTCATCACAATGTCCAGCAGATGCTGTTTGGTAAAGCTGACAAACTGATCTGGTAACGAGAGTAACGGTCTGGGGACAATTCATTACAGTACGCGCCCACTTGCGCTTTTTCTTGACATATTTCCCCGGCTCGCTTTTATTTTTGGACCAGTTTCTCCCTTGTTTAAGCCATTACCAAGCCACACGTTTTATCACACACTTCTATAGCCTAAGAATAGCTCCATTAGTTTGCACTGAAGTCCCTGCAGTTACTTAATAATACATTTTAGCATGTGATAAGCCTGGAATGTTAAGGGCTTAATATAAATCAGTTCTCATCCTTTTTTTTTTACAAAATTCTGAGTGTATCCGTCGTCCGCACAAGTTAGAGAGTTAGTTTACTCAATCTCACTACCTTAACAAGGAACCTATGACCTCCTTATTGTTTAATTATATCTAGATCACTATACTGGTACCAGCAGACTTCTGTCAAAGTGTTCACTTCTGGGTTTTTAACCCCTGTAAATCGCAGGATTATTAAATATTGAGGCTTTTTATTTAGTAACTACAGGATTTCAATGCAAACTCGTTCAGCTATTCTTAGGTTACAGGAGTGTGTAATAAAACTTTGAGCTCACCAGCAGGCCTTGGCCTGTTAAGGGGTTATTTTACGCATCGTGTATGATCCGTTATTCACAGCAGTAACAATCATCTCGTTTGCAACATAAACACTGAATGATGGAGCGCCAACAAATCTGTGTGTTCTCACCTTCAAAGCCTCGCTGCTCTCCACAGAGACATCGCAATCCAAAATATGTGGTCTTGATAACACAGCAAAAGTTAGAGATCAGTTTAGTGATCTGTGAGTCAGGCAGAAATAAACTCCTCCATTCTAGCCTCTGTCACTCTGTGTCAGTAATTCACACAATAATTCTCACGGTTGGGAAAAAAACTTGAGAGTTTTGTCTTTCAAGTGAGATCAAGATCATGACTGTAGCCCAAAGTGTGTGGGAACAGCACTGCTTTTGCTTTGAGTATGCCGTTTCAGGCAAAAATGGGGAGACAGTTAACAGATTAAGTTTGCCTGTCAGATCAAATGATGCAAACTTCATACCAAAGGAGGGGAACTGAGGCCCACAGTCCAGCACAGCTTTCAGTCTTCTCTGCTCTGACACTTTACTAACCTTAACTGCTCAGCCGAATCAGGTGTGTGTTTGAGCAGGAAAATCACCAAACCGTGCAGAAATCAGGGCCTCCAGGACCGGAGTTCCCCACTACAGCTTTATGCAATCGAAATCTACATTTTCCACCCACATTCAGCTCAGAATCTCTCATGGTTGTCCCCAGATGTTCCCGTTACGGGATTTGACCCGCAAAACTACATACACCAAAGAGAATGAGAGGGAAAGAAACTGATTAAAGAAATTAAGCCTTGCATACTCACAGCAGAGAGAGACAGACGTCATCATAATTTCTTCCGAACCGTTTACCCACCAGCCTGAATAATGAGTCAGCACAGAAACCACAATATCCATCTGTACGCTCACATACGCTTGCACTAAAACCGACACGCTCTCTAATCTTTGGCATCCACACGCTTTCATTTCCACAGAATGCCAAACACATTCAGCGTTACACTTTGCATCACCGATCTTACTCACAGTGAGGGCACACGGAGCCAAATTCAGTTTCAGTTCTCACTCTGTACATTCATAATGTAAATCCTCGCACTATATCATACGTTCGGTGTTTGTTTTAAGATGTGAAAGAGCCCACTGCATGAAATTTGATGGAGAAAATGCTGTTGGTGTGATTGATTGATCGATTGATAGAAGCTGGCAAGCAAAACTCTTATTTTCACAGCAAAGGACGTAATACAACTGTACACTGGTTAAGAGCCCCCTAGTGGCCAGTGCCTCAAACCGTTATTGTACAGTGAATAAGACGCATATGATAATAAAAGGCTTTGAAAATCGAGATAAAAGAAGCAAACAGTGCCTAATAAACATAGTAAAGCGCATTTTCTTTGCAAATACAATTATAGTAATATCACTATAATAATACAGTAATATATTGTTCTCTGAACAAAACCTTGTATCTCCATTTTTGCTGTTTTTAGTTGTTTCTCATGATTTGAAAATGGCTGTGGGCTTTTACGTTGTGTCAAAATTTCATGACAAACGGACCCACAGAAATGGTTTAAAAATGACTTAGAATAAGATCTTCTTTCATTAACCTCCATTAAAATTTTTATTTACATTCTGCACAGCATTACAAGTTTTTTATTTCTTATTATTTCTTATTATATATATATATATATATATATATATAGAATAAAAATAATAAGAAATAAAAAAACTTGTAATGCTGTGCAGAATGTAAATAAAAATAGAATGCAATAATATGCAAATCATGTAAACCATATTTTTAAAGGAAAATAGTACAAAGACAGCATATCAAATGTTGAAACTGAGAAATTTTATTGTTTTTTGAAAAATATGCCCATTTTGAATTTGATGCCAAAAACACGTTCCAAAAATGTGCTTCTTGCACATCTTGCATATCTGGACACTCCACACCCAGACATTTTATTTCGGTACCAATATGTGCACATATTTATTCAGTATTATCATGATATGCCGTTACCTGCGCCTCCTTGTACAGTCATTTTTGCACTGCCTTTTTCATTTCAGGTTATAAATCTTATTCCAGATTTTTGTATATTTCTATTTGTATATAAGCCTGTAGATAGGATTTTTTTATATTTACTCTTCCTTTTGTATTGTTTCACCCTTATTATTATTACTGTACTGTGTTGTGTGACTGATACTGGCTACACATCTATCTATCTCTAAAACAGTTGCGACGGGGTCATGTTTACCACTGTTTCATCAGCTCTTCTTTTAACAACACTCTTTAAGTGTTTGGGAACTGAGGAGACACTGCTGTAGTTTTGAAAGTGAAATGTTTCCATGTTCTTGTTTGATATAGGATTTCAGCTGCTCAACAGTTCGAGGTCTCTTTTGTTATATTTTTCATTTTATAATGTGCCAAATGTTTTCAGTGGTGACAGGTCTAGACTGCAGGCAGGTCAGTTTAGCACCCAGACTTTTTTTATATGGAGCAATGCTGCTGTACTACATGCAGAATGTGGTTTGACATTGTCTTGCTGAAATAATCAAGGCCTTCCCTGAAAAAGACGTCGTCTGGATGGCAGCATATGTTGCCAAAACATATATAGTTCAGCATTAATGGTGCCTTCACAGATGTGATTGATTTCATTGTCCAGTATACTGGACAATGAATTAGGCACATGAAATCTGCCAAATTTTGAAAAATGAACATATGTATCATCATCAGGATAAAGATCCAAACAGAATACTGAATATTCCCAATGTTATTTCTAGTGTATAAAATGTGTGTAATGTGTGCAATATTACATGTAAATCCAGATAACATGGAATATAGCTTATGTAATATTTTCCGATCATTTTTTATCAATGACTTTGAATGTTGTTACATTGCCCAATAGTAATGTAAATCAGTGCACTGCAAAAAATGGTATCTTGTCAAGTAAAAGTATCTTAATTATAGTCAATAAATCTAATATTTCTCCTGTTGAGGTCATTGTATGTTTTAATTTCAGATTATTCACCTTATTAATAGACATTTTTACTAAGCAATTTTATCGAGTAAAACTATCTCACCATATTGGCAGATAATTGTGCTTGTTTTAAGAAATGTACTTGAAACCAGTGAATATATCTGCCAGTATAGTGAGATAATTTCACTTAATAAATGACCTAAAACAAGTAAAATGTTTTTGGGAAAGAAGCTAGAAAATCTTATAATTAATATAATATATATATATTAATATATATAATAATAATATAAGTGCACAATCATCTACAAAAGGGGAAATATTAGACATATCAACTAGATTTAATATCATTTCACTTGACAAGACACCATTGTTTGTAGTGTGTATGCTTTGTGTTAAAATGCTCTGGGTTTATTATTATGATATGAAAATTATTCTGAATGTTATTCAGATTTTAGGAACCATTCATGCAGTCGTCGTATAGTAGTTCCAAGAGCTGAGAAACTTTTCCATTAAAAATTGTACAAACAATCAATATAAAGAACATATGCTTGCTTTGGGTCTTATTTTGTTGGTGATAATAAATATATGTATTATTATGTATTATGTTATTTAGCATGCAAAAGATGTTTCATAACAAAACTTTATTTATAAACTTTATTAACTTTCAAACTTTATAAAGTGACCAGTCTCTGGACTGGATAGTAATAGAATAAGGGAATCTACAGTGGCTATCACAGAAAGAATGTTGTCTCTTTAACATCCTCTCTAATGTTTCTCGTTGCAGACTGAAGAGTCCAGTGATGATGACGACGACAAGGAAGAGAGGTCACACAGTGTTGGAGATATTGGAGAGGGACTTCTGTCCACCAAGCCGTCAGTCAGCCTATTATTTGAGAGAGAATTACCCCCCACACCAATACAGGGCAATACCACTGACCCCTATAAGTGGCTTGGCACCTTCTTCGGTCATTAAAATAGCACCACATGCCGGTGGACAGCCATGGCCTTACTATGCACAACCACCCATCCATGGGCATTTTTCACTCATTCCTCGCCCCAGACTGTGCCAGCAGCCAATGGGACTTGACTGGATGTTGCATCAAAGAACACTTCCACACACTTACGTAATTCTGACTAATAAAATCAAAGACACCAGAGTTTCTAGTTCAGTAGAATTAAAAATGCCAGATTTTCCATCAATGCCACGTAATCAGGTTCAAAAGGCCATTACTAATGCGACCAGTCACTCTTCCGGTTCTTCCGACGTGGACACGTCCCTCATCCCTGAACTTTTCAACTCCAGCTCAGTTGCCAGAGGAAACCAGGATGAAGAGGCCTTAGATCTGAGCACTGATGGAGGCAGTGAGGTCGTAGGGGTCAGGAAACAGCCCTACCCGTTACTAAGGCAGAACGGGAAGCTCCGGTATGACTGTAACGTTTGTGGGAAGAACTTCAGCCAGCTGTCCAACCTGAAGGTTAGTGAGTCAGCTCAGGAAACGGTAGCAGATGAACTATTTGTCCAAAAGTTTGTCGACACCTGATTGTCAGTTTCTACTGATTAGAATGAATTAGTATTAATAGGAAGCTTGTGGCAGAAACAGCTGCTACTCTTCTGGGAAGTGTTTACACTAGATGTTGGAACATTGCTGTGAGGATTTGATTGCATTCAGCCACAACAATGCAATCACTCCAGAGAACGCAGTTCCACTGCTCCACAGCCCAATGCTGGGGGGCTTTATGCCCCTCTACCCAGTGCTTAATTTGGGCATGGTGACCTTAGGCTCATGTGCAGCTGCTCCAGAGCATCCCAGTCTATTGGCAATGGTTTTATTTGGAAATTATACAAGCTGTAAGTGTGCAACTGGATATTTGTGTTAATGGCTGCAATGTGTGCACGCTAAAGTATCTGAATTCATTCATTAGAGCCTGCATCTGGATACTTTTGGAGAATATAGCGTAGGTTAAGCCACCTTTTCATTCAGCGACTGTAACAGCAGAACAACTAAACATACTCGAATTAGCCAGAAATGAACTGAATACAATTTGTCAAACAAGATGGGCCATGAAATCTTTTACAAACTGAGCTGAACCTGATATTGTCAAAGTTTTATCTGTAATTCTAAAGGAATTGCTGATATTAAAGCACATTTGATACAACGTTTGGGGCTCCTTTGCTTTACTTCTCTTCATTTTGCAGAACTATTATATAGAAGTAATAGAGCACTTGAGGTTGTGTGTTATCAGCTGTGATGATATTGGCAATGACACACTCCGTCTTGTGTTCTATTGCTTAATTATCCACAGAGGCACCATTAAACTTTACATTTTGCATGCTGATAGAGTGTTTAGTAAGCTGACATGCAGCTTCTGGTAATATTCTGGTAACAATTTTGTGATTAAAATTTAGACACTGGCCTCTATGCCAATTATGGCCCCCTAGTGGTGATGCTGAGAATAACTGCACATCATTGGTATCATGGATGCATTTCATTAGCCTGGCTTTCTCCTTCACTCAATTTCATGCTTCTCCTCTTCAACCTCTCTCTCTGCACCTCAGGTCCACCTGAGGGTCCACAGTGGAGAGAGGCCGTATAAATGCTTGACCTGCAGGAAGGACTTCACTCAGCTGGCTCACCTGCAGAAGCACAGGCTGGTGCACACAGGGGAGAAACCATACAAGTGTTCGGTGAGCCCAGGCATTATTTAAGCCTAGTTAGGACAGTTTTCAAAAATTTTCAAAATGTATAGCACTGTATGATTAAACATTCTGACATTTTCGGTATATCTTGTACTATTTTTTTTAACCCCTTTACGTGGCCAGGGCCTGCCTGTGGGCCCAAAGTCTAATTACACACATCTATAGCCTAAGAATAGCTCAGCCAGTTTGCATGAAAGTCCTTGTAGTTACTGAATAATAAGTGTTAGTTTGTAATAAGTCTGGGTTTTTCAGAGGTTAAATAAATCCAGTTTAGATGCTTTTTTGGCTTATTATTAACAAAACTGAACAATATATAGATACTGCTTTCAAACACTAGCACTGCAGGTGCTGAATGTTGTTTCATGTCTTCATTTCTTCAAGGCTAAAATTGGCCTCTTATTCAACAGCTTTTTGTTTGAATGTTCTGTTCCACCTTAAATGGAGCAGCTGTTACATTCTGGCACCTGAGCAGGCTCCTAAAAGTAACTGTTGCAACATTTAAGGTAAATTGAGAACTTTAACTAAGAGGCCAACTTCAGCTTCAATGTATTTCTAAAAGTTAAGGCCGGAAGACCGTGACATTGACCGCGTCAGGAGGATCTTTGGCCAGGCCTCATCGCTCTGGTGTCCTTGTTAGGCCAAGGCTGACCTCAAACATCCGGCTGTGCCTTTATGTTCACCATCTTGAAAAAACAAAGCGGCCTATTTCGAATGAAATGGACTAGACAGAGGGAGGTGATTGTGGGTCTGCTGCGTTTATATTTTCATTTGAAACGGGACTGAGTCATCCCTGACTCAGATGTTTACCTAAAGGGGTTAACACTGGTGTGGTTTGCACTGTTTGTATGTCGTGTTATCACTTAGTTTGGCCAGTATAACAGTCATGACTCAAACTCATAGAGGAAGTATTTTAACTGAAAGCGACTTTAACAAAAGTACTATTCTTTTTAGTGATTCATTTTAAATTTGAAGTTTTTTACACTGGAAACTGAAACATTATGCTTTAAATGAAAAAGTAAGATGAATGAAATAATATCAAAAAAGAAGAAGAAAAATAAAAACATGAAGTAGACATTTCTTATTTTATCCAGCCTAAAGTCAAAGTGTATTTTAATCTGCTTCTTCCATTGAAAAAAATATCGTATTTTATTCTATTGTACCCTTTTATTCTGCATAGGCACATGCTAACCTCTCTGTCTCTCTCTCTCGATCAGAGCTGTTCTCGCCGTTTCAGCAGCAGCAGTAATCTGAAGACTCACCTGAGGCGCCACATATGTTTCCAACCCAAGCACCAAGCACTGAGCACATTCACCTGAGAGGAACAGTTTGATGAAAAAATAAATGCACACAATTTCCTCCCTTACTCTAAATGACCAGCCGAGACATGTTTGGCGTCTGACGTTTGCTCCCTTAGCTTTACACAGGAGCTATGAGGCTAATGTAGCTAATAAGTAATGGGCGCTTATAGCCCAATAATGAGCAGTGTGCAAACTGCTTATATCATCACACACTTGCCTCAAACCGTGTGGAGTTGTCAAGACATTTCCAAAATTTGTGGTTGTTTAACACACTGTTATCCAAAACTATGCTAGGATAGCTAAAAACATTAGCAGGAGGCATCTCCAGGCCCTGAATTTGGTCTATACGATTGTCCATGTTTATAGAGGTTTACTTAACAACTCCACACAGTTTGAGGAAAGTGTGTGATGATTTAAGCATGCACCTTCCCAGTTAGCAAAATTTTTCTGGACCACATCCTTGCTTTGTTCTGGCCCAGTATACGTCTGGGTCCTTGGCCCAGATCTGACCCACACACTGTACAACAAGTTCAATTAATGAATGTGGCCCAAATCTAACCCAATTACAGTGTTGGTCCACAAGAATTGGCCCACAGATACCCAGACAGCAGACAGTTTTGGGCCTATTCTGGCTTTCCACGTGAATGTTGGTTGACTACCACAGGAACTAGCCCACAGATACCTAGATAGCAGACAGTTTTGGGCCTATTCTGGCTTTCCTGTGTGAATGTTGGTTGACTACCACAGGAACTAGCCCACAGATACCTAGATAGCAGACAGTTTTGGGCCTATTCTAGCTTTCGTACATGAGTGTTGGTTAGCTACCACAAGAACTGGCCCACAGATACCCAGATAGCAGACAGTTTTGGGCTGATTCTGGCTTCCCAATGTGAGCGTTGGTCGACAACCACAAGAACTGGCCCACAGATATCCAGATAGACAGTTCTGGGCCGATTTTGGCTTTCCTATGTGGGTGTTGGTCGACTACCACAAGAATTGGCCCACAGATACCCAGATAGCAGACAGTTTTGGACCTATTTTGTAGGACAATTCCGGTGTGAATGTTGTGGACCAACAATGTAGTTGGGCCAGACTGGGGCCAGATTTGGGCCATCCTTTAGTTCTACTCACTTTACAGTGTGTGGGCCAGATCAGGGCCAAAAACTCAGCAGTATACTGGGCCAGAACAAATCAAGGATGTTGCCCACAAATGGGTCAGAAAAATTTTGCTAACTGAAGAAAAACACGAGGCAAAACCATATGAAGCTGTGCAGCATCTGGCCCGCACGCCTAACATCATCCAACACTAGGATACTAGTAGGAAAGCCAGAATCAGCCCAGAACTATCTACTATGGGTTGTACCATGCTAAGCTACTATTACTTGTTAGCTACATTAGTCGTGTAGCTGCAGTGCAAAACTAAAGCAAGAAATTTCAGACACCAAACATGTTTGATTGGCGGGAGGAAAACTGTGTAAATTTTGAATTTTTTTCCAAACTATCACTGGCTCCTGCCCACCGGCCAGCGCCCTTACTTAGCTACCTCTGTAAACTGGAGCAGAACTACAGAACACCTGGAGCTTGCTGTCACTGTCTTAAATAGTACTAATCTTACAAGAGAAGGACAAAGTGTTCATGGTAAAGTAACTTCATTGTATGTTAATTTAATGAGATTGTATTCCAGAAAATTAATACTATGTCATGAATGTATAAGGCACCATTAGAAAATCCTATAACTGGAGCTGAAAAGAGTTCTGACAGCAGTACTGAAGCATATTTTGCCTATCTGTGTTGAGACACTGAGTACATTTGTGTATTTTGGATGATCTTTTTTCAATTGTATCTTCCTTCAAATATATTTCTATATTAATATATTAATATATATTTGCACATTGTATTCACCTTGTATGAAATTTTTATTATTTTATTTTATTTAGCTTTTTCTAATTGTATCTTCCTCAATTTTCATGATAACAGACAAACTTATGAATCATGTATATTTGTATATTAATATAATATAAATTTGCAGATTGTATTCAATCTGTATAAAATTTAGCGTTTTATTATTTATTTGGCAGATGCTATTTACACTAAGTGCAAACAGAATGATGACACTTGATGTTCAAAGTAACGTCATGCTATTTACACTTACATAATTATATGCTTCTTGATATGGATTCTGCACTATTAGCTTATAATTCAGCAATAAAATTATGCTGCTTTTCTTCCAAGGTGTACTTGAGGTCATTCTTGCTAACCACTCTCTCTCTCTGTCAGGGTTACTGCCCCTGTCTGATTTGTTACTGCTACTTTGTCCATATGACTATTAAAATACATGTTTATTTTGATTGCAACAATGAGTGTATTTACATGCACTCAATAATCTAATCATAATCAGATTTCTGCAGTTATTAGATTATTCAAATGGTCATGTAAACAGCACACTCTGCTTTCTTAGATCAGAGTAAGGTCGAGAAATCCGATTAAGAAATCCCATTAAGAGATCTGGATTTTAGCTCAGTAATCAGATTTCTCAGTGTATGTGAACTCTTACTCTGATTTCTTTCGGATTTCTCAGTCTGAGCATGTGCAAACCAGACGGCGGTATCAGAAATAAGCGAGCAGCGTCTCCGCGAGAAGCAGCAAAATACTTGGAGCGAAGCTGAAACCAACAACGTGCTTGACTAAATGAAGGATAAGAGTTCACATACACTGAGAAATCTGATTACTGAGCTAAAATCCAGATCTCTTAATGGGATTTCTTAATCAGATGTCTAGACCTTACTCTGATCGAAGAAATCAGAGTGTGCTGTTTACAGGGCCAAATCATAGGGTTGGAAATGGGCGTGTAAAACTGCATCTGGGCATTTTTCATCTTGACCAAAGTCACGTACCTTCTATATAGACACCAGAGAGCAATTTAAAATGCTGGATAAATGAATTCCATGGCACCTTTAACAATAATTATATATAATACCCTGCTAGAAACACCCGAAACCAGCACAGACCAACATGGCTGGTTACCAGCATGTGTTGTGTTCTGGATGCTGGCACGCTGGTCAATCAGCATGCTCATGCTGGATGACCAGCTAAACCAGCACCAGGCCAGCACTAAACCAGCATGAACCAGTATACACCAGCTTAGACCAGCATGAACCAGTATAAACCAGCTTAGACCAGCATGGAATTTGTGCTGGTCTGTGTTGGACTTTTCAGCTGTGCAGCTCACTGTGCTCTAATATATTACATGGTTGCCTATGAACATATAATATATAACAATAATAACAATAAATACAATGAAATAAAAATAAAATTTGCAAACAGCACTTCTTGTTTTCGGATATGCGTGTTGTAAGCTCGCGCCCTCTAGAGCCTCGGCGCGTGACGCTGCATCCGCGTTCCCACGCTCCCTGTCTCTTTAAATCGCGAGCCCATGACGTCAGATATTGTGGAGCTCGGGAGGAGGACGGGAGTGACGGCGCACGCGATGGACGAGGACGGACGAACCGCGGCGGCAGACGGAGTCCGCGGCCCTCGCGCCCCCGCGCGCCGGTGACCCAAAACATGTCGGGCCGCTGGAGCGCGTGCTGGCAGGTGCTGCTGTTCGGCGCCTCGGCGCTCGTGCTCGTAGCCGAGCGAGCCGCACGTGAGTGATTTCACACAAGACATGCACGGGCGCACCTGCATCACCACGCAGCACACCGTTCAAACAAACACGGCGTTGTTAGGTACAGGCGTGCATGCGGCTGCGGGGCACGGAGCTGTGAGAGGCCGTCGGGGCCAAAACGTGTGCATATGCCCGCTAACTACCTTGGTTTAATTGCATGTTGACACGGCAGATGTTGCAGAGGCATCACCTTTCCCGCGTACTAGGTGTGTGTGTATGGGGGGGGGCGCACGTAGGACACTGCAGACGGTGGTAGTGTCTCTGTTGCTCTGTTTTGGGAGCACTACGTCGATTGGGCAAATCTTTCTTGACAAACAGTGTATTGAGGACAGACTGATGTCACAGTAGAAGCACTAATGTCAACGTGGATGAGATGTAAACAAAGTCAGCCAAAGTGGTTTGATGTGAAACATCCATTGTAGAGAAACTCTTTACAGTGGTGGTGATAGGAACCAGGTGTCGCGATGTTTACAGGACAAATATAGCCATTTTATTTATCAAAACCTGTCAGTGGAACCTTCTGAGTTTTATGTAGAATGTTGATGGTGATAAAACGGTGGTCTTGGAAAAAATTCTTTGGCCACTTTTTTTTTTTAGATGTCTTTTAGGCCAAAATCTTAAATCAAAATTATTGATCTGTCTACTTCATCTATTAATTCTGTAAGGGAGACATTAAACTCTTCAGACGTCTGGTTCCTATCACCACCACTGTGAACAATTCTGACTGTGAGCTTCTTTAGAAAGGAGCTCTTCACACCAAACCACTCTAAATGACTTTGTTTATATCTTAACAATTTCATCATACAGAAATTTTAAAAATCCAGTGGAATTCCCCTTTAGCTACATAAAGAAGCAGAATTTTGCTTAGCAAGCTCATGTTAGTTAGATGTTGCTTAAATTGGTTACAGAGAGTTGAAGTTGAGAATATATGTGTTGACACAGTTGATCAGTCGCACACATCCTAGAGCGATAACCCGCTCACCTGTGCAGGTAGATCAGTCTCGCACTCGGCACTGGGCCGAGATCAGGTGGAAGACTGAGGTGTCAGGTTGATGCTGTGTGTGTGTGTGCATGTTTGATTGTTGGTGTATTCGGTGTGTGTGCACATGCTCTGCTCTCTGTGTGTGTGTGTGTGTGCAAGGCTTTGGCCTACAGTCAGCACAGTACAGTACAATTGATGGCTATTGGCTTTAGAAAGTGAATGAACTGTGCAGTTTACTGCTGTGTAAAGATCAGGACTGCTTACTGCAGCTGCTGGTCCACACTGTATTCATTACAACAGGGCTTTATAAACTGTGTGCCTATAGAGGTAGTGTTTTTATCTAGACTTTTTACAGAAAAAGAAGAAATTTTATTTGTTTTGAAATGTGAAATGTGTTTTGAAATGTGATTAGATGTGAGTTGTGATTAGCTATTCACTATATAATACTAATTATAACAACACAACATTATTATTATTATTATTATTATTATTATGTTAGTATTAATAACAGCAATAATAACAAGTATTGTTGTTGATTACTATTACTACTACACTACTACTTATAGTAATAAAGAATATTGTTGTTTTTTGTTTTTATAAAGTATAATAATAATAATAATAATAATAATAATATGATTATCATAGGCAATAAAATAAAACTTTATAAACATTTATAGTGGTTAAAAGGTTTTATTTTTCAATGTATATATGAATGTGGACTACTTTCTTTATTTTATGTATTTACAACAATTAAAACAAAAACTTTTATAAATGTTATTACAGTATTGTTATATTTTTACATGTATGATTACTGTTGTTGTTTGTTGGTATTATTGTTATTCATATTTATATGCTATTGTTGTAAAGTAATACTACTACTACTATTAAAATGAATAATAATAGCCATACTAAAACTACTACTAATAATAATAAGCACAGATAACATATATATGTATATGTGTGTGTGTGTGTGTGTGTATATATATATATATATATATATATATATATACACACACGATCAGCCAGTCAACATTATGACCACCTCCTTGTTTCTACGCTCATTGTCCATTTTATCAGCTCATTACTATATAGTTTGTATACTACGTAATTGTTTTGCATACTTTGTTAGTTTACGTTCTTCAGTGGTCGACCCCTGGACCCTCACAGAGCAGTATTTGGGTGATCTCACTGCAGTAGTGGTGGGTTTAGTGTGTGTTGCACTGGTCTGAGTGGATCAGACACAGCAGTGCTGCTGGAGCTTTTAAACACTGTGTCCACTCACTGTCCACTCTATTAGACACTCCTACCTTGTCAGTCCACCTTGTAGATGTAAAGTCAGAGACGATAGCTCATCTGCTGCTGCACAGTTTGTGTCGGTCATCCTCTAGTCCTTCATCAGTGGTCACAGGACGCTGCCCACAGGACGCTGTTGTCTGGATATTTTTGGTTGGTGGACTATTCTCAGTCCAGCAGTGACACTGAGGTGTTTAAAAACTCCAGCAGCACTGCTGTGTCTGATCCACTCAGACCAGCGCAACACACACTAACACACCACCACATTAGTGTTACTGCATGCAGAAAGCCCTGCCTTGTATCTGGCCATGTGCTGTTGTTTTTGTCTGATGTCCTGCTCCTGTGTCTTGTCTTGTTCTGATGTGTTCCTTGTTTGTCTTCTCTTGTATATTTACCCCATGTCCTTATCTTTTTGCTTGGCTCTGTAAGTGCTGCGTAGTTCTGTTCCCTTGGTTTCATGTTACGGTTCAGATTGTTCTTTTGTTCGTTTTCGCTGTCGTTTCCTCGTCCTCCTCGTCTCCTCCTTTGGTCCATTTACTTAGAAAAATAATACAGTAACACTTATTGTATTATACACTTATAATACAATAAAAACAAATGATATTAGTAGTAGTCCACGTATCTAAGTAGTTGTAATAACATAACATATGGTGTTCCTTCAAACAAAAACACATTCATTGCCAAGATAAATTTAAACAATGTACTAAGGTGCCTAAGGTTTTTGCACAGTACATATACCTAATATATATATTTGCCTAAATTGCATATTCTGTGTATGTATATGTACGTACACTATACCATGATATATACTGAAACTTTATGAAATTTTAATTTTACCATGATATAAATTTTTGACTATACCACTCACTACAAATTTCCAGCACCGTGTTTAAATACAATGGATTGAACAGTATTTCTCTCCCTCTCTCTGTTTTCCAGTGTTCTTCTGCATTGGGCTCTACCTGTGGCAGGAGCAAGTGCTGTGGGCGGGGCTGACCTTTGCCTTTTTGTTGCCGGGGTCGATAGTGCAGGTGCTGAGCTTCCTGTGGTACAGGGCGGACGGAGAACAGCAGACATGTCGCATGATCACCCTACACACACTCCACCTGGGCATCTTCAAAAGGTGTGTATGTGTGTTATTAAAGGGGAACTCCACTGATTTTTCATAATTTCTGCAATATGCGTCAGAATATGAGATGTAAACAAAGTCATTCAAAGTGGTTTGATGTGAAATGCTCAGTGGTGGTGATAGGAACCAGACGTCTGCCTCTAAAACTCCCTCATAGAAAGTTATTATGAGATGGTTATGAATATGCTGCCTAACGTCTCAGACGTTGTTGTTTTTCAGGAGTTTTGGATTTTAGTCTAAATCACATTTTAGAATCCACATGTAGGTTCAGGTCATTTTGGATAGTAAATAAATAAATAATAAATAAATAATAAATGGTTCAGATGTCTTTACAGTGGTGGTGATAGGAACCAGGGGTCACCATGACTACAACACTAATATTGACATTTTATTTATTATCCAAAACCACCAGTGAACCTACATGGCTTCTGCGTTTATAGGCATAATGTTAATGATGGTAAAATAGTGATAAATCTGAAAAAATAAGTTTTTGGGTAGGCCTGTGAAAAAGTGGGTTGGCCAGTTTGGTAGGTACAATTTTCAAACGCACTAATGTTCTGCAGTATCGTTATATCAAGCTATAACCTGTTCCTGACAGCCATGCAGTCATCACCCTACATATTCCAACACTTCCACCCCCTGTGGTCATTTCACCATGCTATAGCAACCAACCACAATACTAGACTCACATAAACACAACAAACACTGCAGCACCCTTCACTTTAAAGCACATGTCCACATGTCACAAGCCCGTTTGCCCAGCGAAGACAACATAACAATTTAATAATAAGTCAAACTCAAACAACTGAGATGTTCCAGTTGTCTTCCCTTTGATACATTGATGTAACATTAGATGTTTGCTTTGGCATTTTCACACTATTTCAGCTTAAAACTGGTGCCGACGATGGTTTTTAGCTTTGGTGGCTAGAAAACAACATACACTACTGCACCAATAATGAACTGAAGGCTTGAAGCAATGGTGGATAGCAACAATTGATCAGAGGGTTACGAAAATAAGGCGGAGCAGGGCAGAGAGCGTAATGACATGATTGGCCATAATACAGTGACAGCACTCATAGAAATCAAATAAAAGTGCATTATCTTTAAAAATTTGACTTAAGTATTATTTCCCCATTTTGTTGGGTAGACCTAGGCAACCCAGGCCTACGTGTTGCTACACCCCTGTTTTAGACCAAAATCTTATCTCTAAACTGCCCTAAATCAAAGCCACAGACATCAGGTAATGTATTTGTAGCCGTTTTGTGTGAAAATGTTCTGTGATGTAGCTTTTAAAGGCATTAAAAACTTCTGATATCTGATATCATGACGGCTGAGAACTCTGTAAATTTCTTTAGAACTCACTATTCCATATTAAACCACTTTTGTGACTTGGTTTACATCTTAACCATTTAAATATACATAAAATTTGAAAAGCTGGTGGAATTCCCCTTTACCGTTTGTGTGTTCGCAGGCTGTGGGACTGCAGCGTGTGTGTGTGGCATGCGCAGGGCTCAGCGCAGTCTCACGCTCAGCTGGTGATGCAGCAGGCGGACGTGTCGGCGCTGCGTCTGCTGGAGGTCTTCCTCCTCACGCTCCCTCAGTCCTTCATACAGACGTACATCCTCACAGCAACCGAACTCAGCCTCGCCTCGCCAGGTCAGCCTCTATGACAGCCCACTACGTTCACACAGTTACTCCCTCCTTATTCCAAATGTGGTCGATCAGCTGAGATGTTTGATGTCTGAGGTGTGCTTGTTCGGTATTGCCTTGGAGCTAAAAAGCTAATGTAGCTAACAAGTAGTGCACATCCAGCTTATATATGGCAACATTTTAAAGGTGGTAAGGATCTTATTCACGTTACTGCTGCTGCTGATGTGGCCGGTCAAATGAACAAATAAATGAATGGACAGACGACAGACAGACAGATAAGCTAGCTTGATAGCTCTGGTGCGCTTGCTAGGTGAGCTTTCGCTTGGTTGTTAGCCTCCTCTGGATACGTTTCTATGACTTGAACACAGAGAGACAGTGGACGAACACAGTTTTGGTAAAGCTGTGCAGGCGGGTCAATCCAAGGGACTGCTTACGTGCTAATTGGTGAAGTATAAGCTATTATTACTTGTTAGCCACATTAGCCTTGTAGCACCGGTACAAAACTAAAAAAGCAAGCTTCAGACATTATGCGATGATCTGTTATTGTGTGGATGATGCCTAACTGATTGTTATATTCCTTTATCTGTGTGTTTGTGCCACACAGTTGCTCTGTGTAGCGCTGTTTGCTTGCTGTCTCTGTCCTGGGCGTTGGTGTTGTACAGTCGGTCATGCTGCCTCACACGGCCCGGTCACCTACTGATGCCGCCCGCTGCCCTGCTGTGCCAGCTGCTGTGGAGGGCGGGGATGCTGGCCGCTCGCTTCGCCAGCCTGGCACTCTTCGCACGCTCATTCGGCTGCTGGGTCATCGGGGTCATGAGTGAGTAATGGCACAGCAACTCACATTTGAGCGCATACATCATCATCTTAATGTGCCCAGTGAGGTTTCACTCGCCTAAAGACACAAACTACGTTTTCAACCAGCTGTCAAATCCAGTTCAAGTGAAACCCTGAAATTTTATTAAAAAAAGGGAATTTGGTTGCATTTAGGGCTGCAAAATATGAATATTTTGATAGTCAATTATGATTGTTAATTAAACGACTAATAATCAAGCTCATTTAAAATGCTCCCAGACTTTGGCTTCAGCCATAATTGTTCTTTTTCTCTGCTCATATAGATACGACACTATTAGTAAATCACTGCCCTCTTCAGGTTGAGTTGTTAATTCGCTCAAGGTTGGATATCAAAATGTAACAAAAACATTTTTAATGGTGATTTGTTTATTATAGTTTTATTTAGATTTATTTATTAGTTATATGTTGCATAATAAGAGTGGGGAGACTGAATGCACTGAGCACACTGAGCTTAGCAAATATCCTTTATATAATGTAATGTTTGTATATATTAAATATAGCAGCTGGCACTTTCTGTCTCTTTAATGTAGATATAGATAAAGGTACGCTTTGATGTTGACAGCAGTTCGCTGGTAGCTGCTGCCTTCTATCGCATCCATGGCCACAAACACAGAAGCATCGTTTGCTCACATTTTCATCATTTTTTTCAGCAAATTTCTTATGATTCACAAAAAAAGTAAAAAAGTATCTACGTCAAGCAAGCATGCAGACTTATATGCAAACTTAGGAGAATTTATTTAATATCGGCTGTTTATGTGAAGTCTTTTTTTATTCCTTCTGTAAAAAAATAAATATATGAATAAAAATAAGAAGATGGAAAATATGCATGAAAGTATAAAAATGGAAACCTAGTTACTGGCCCCAAAAATGGCTATGCTTGCATAAATCCTAGTAAATGTGCATAATGTAAATCAATAGGGGTGTAAAAATGCCTCAGTGTAGATCTGAAAGTGAAAGTGGAGATTTATGATGTTTATTGATTCTGCTCCTATTCAAAAATTATGTGGTCCATTTTTGTGACGTACCAAAAAATAAAAAAGAGTTTGACAAAATACTAAAAAGAATTTGTGGCAATTTGAAATTAAATGTTAAATAAAATTAAATTGATATTTAAAAGTAGTTTAAATTGACTAAAAGGTGAAAGATTTTGGGCCAGATTCATGAAACTCGGCAGTAAAGCACTACCCATGAATAAGAGCCATTCATGAAGTCACCGTGGCGATGATAAGCACACGGGTGTCTTTTTAACTGTTGCAGTATTTTCACTGGTGTCCTAGGCAAGAGCCAATCAAAATCAACATGTAAATGAGCCCATACGTATTAAAGACCCACGGCAAGTGAAGCTCCGGTTGGCTGCCAAAATGGAAATGATAAAGAAACAGAAACAAAGAAAACCAAAAATTACAGAAACCTTTAATTAAGAAATTAAATGAAACTTCTTGCAATAAAATCAATTCAGATATGTAATTTGAATCTCAACATGTCAAATGACTCTTCACGTATTTGGATTCCAACTTCCAAACCTACTTTCCACACACAGGAGGGGGATTCGCCAAACATGGAGTTTAACACAGGAAGATGGGGCAGTTTTAAGTTCAGTACCTGAAATATAAAATATAATATGAATATAATTTATCAGCTTCTTACCAGGGAAGTTACCATCATAATGGTTCAGGCACTATTTTTTTTGCGGGATTGTGTCATGTTATGATTTGCTACCATCATATTTAAATTTAGTAAACTTGTGGCCACACCTTAAATCATGCAAGCCGTGAAACGCAACTATAATCCTTGTTAATGAATGATCAGACATGTTTCCGCTACGCTGTTTGCTCTTATCATCACTGTAAATCTGGCAGTGTGTTTTATGAATCTGACCCATTGTGTTTTACCACAAAATGCTCTCTTACTAAATTCTGTAGATGAGAATGATACACACAAGTGTAATATCTCTCTGTCTCTCTCTTTCTGGTGGTAGGTTCCCATTGGCTGATTGCTGCATTCTGGTTGGTCTCCCAGCAGACGGACATCTGTGTGGGCCGGTGGTCTTGGCGTGCATTTAACCTCATCCTGGGGGGTGTGCACATCTTCCTCTTTCTGAATGTGAAGGACGGCCCCTCGCGTTACCGCATGGCCAGCTTTTATACCGTAAGATCTACATCACAGCCTTGATGATTCAATTTACTGATTGATTCAAGTTACCAAACTAGTTCTGTCCATTTCAAATGAATCAAAATATTTGATTCAGTGATTCATTATATTCTGGGGGAAGCTGATGAGCACAGTGAAAATCATTGTCATGAATGGTGATTGGAATGCAGTAGGCCTGGGCGATAGGGTGATGCAGTCGGATATCGTTGATGATGGACAAGTAACCTGATGGTGACGTGTGAAAGGCGATGATTGGTAAAAGAACTGAGAGAGAATTAGTGAGGACTGATTTACAGCTAAACAGCTTAAAAAATACATTGGGAAACTGGGGTTCACATTCATGAAGTGTGTAGCCTCACACACCAGTAGTAAATTTCACCAAGAGAGTGAGAGAGAGAGAGAGAGAGAGAGAGAGAGAGAGGAGAGAGGTTTGTTAGCAAATTTACTTCATGTGAGTGGAATTGAAAATAAACTGCAGATGTGCTTTGAGACTTCAGCTCACCTCAAACTAACTCACTGCAGAAAAACGAGCTAAAATGACAGTAAGTTAGCGTAGAGCAGCTAAATTAGCTCTAACCTGGAGAGATAGTTTCTCTGGTCCTTGTCTACGGCCGGTGTTCTCAGAAAAAAGTGATAAATAATATTAAATAAAATGTGCACATAATGTTTTATTCAATTTTATTCTTAAAGTATTGAATAATAATGGGGCCTTTAAAAGCTCTGGTAGAGTAAACTCCTCACTGCGCCTTCCTGTACAGATTAAGTGCCCCGGTGTTTAGCTGAATTATGAAAATTGTTGCTGTAACGATGGAAAACGGCTTGTTTTTAGTGTGGAAAACGAATCGGCATGGCTTTACAATCACTTGCAGTCTGGTGTGTGTGTGTGTGTGTGTGTGTGTGTGTACATACATATATATATATATATATATATATGTGTGTGTATGTACACATGTATATATATCGCTGTTGTCGGAAGAAAACCTTGTATCTTCAAAATGGTATAATTTCCTCAGAGGTCATTTACATACATCAGTCTTAAAGGCACAGCGACAAAAGCACCTGTTTAATTCTAAGGTGTTTATTTTGAACAACAACCAAACATAATGCCAGCAGCAAAGGTGCTTGTAACTCACTAAAGCATGTTATTATGAAAAAAAGAAGTTTTTTTTTTTTATTGATTTAGATGAAGCTATTAAATAGAGCTATAACTCACTGGTTGGACAGAATAGTGGGCAACGTTACAGTCATGTATGTTGGAGAGTGGGATTCACATCCCTGTTTGGGCAGTTGTTTTGGCTGCCTTATGTCTGATAGCCACTGTAACTTAGGTTGAATTAAAGGGGAACAGTCATGTTTGGCTATTTTTACGTGTCCGGAGGTGCTGCGTCATGCCAGACGTTTGAAAAAAATGCAATTCTGCCATCAAAGCAACTTAGAGAAAAAAAAACAAAAAAAAACAAAGGAAAAATGTACCAGCGATATTTTTTGGGTACATATGAAACAGAGAGAAGATTCATCTCCCGTGAATCACCACAGCGGCACGAAGAGCACAGTCTGTACACTCCTCACTCACTCAGCCCCTTCAAACTCACAGTGGAAAGAGTGTCTCCTCAACCATTCACCAACACACCTCCTTCAAGCTCATAACAGAAAAGCCAGTCTTACTAACCAGGGCAACAGAACCAATGACAGTAGAACTTGGAGTTCAGTACAGCAGAGTATGGCGATGTGTATATATTATCAGAGTTGTTTCTGAACCGACCAGAAAAACATTCTGGAAGAGTTCAGTCTGGATTTGATGCTGTTCAAAAGTCCAAACTTGAAATCTTCTGGCTTGAAGTGTTTCGAAAACACATGAACACACAGTTTCAGTACAAGTGCAGTTCAGGTTATTTATAGCAGCAGCAACTTTCTGACTGTTACCTCTTTCACAGTCTCTCACACAGCGCTGTGTGATTAAGACTCTTTGGGAGCACTTTACTTGAACCCTGATGCATAATGTTGACATAAGCATGCCATAGAAAACATGCCATATTCAGTTATGAGTTGTCATGACAGATTTTGTATCAGCGTCATGTCGTGGCATGTTTGCTAATGCTGATTTTTGCTAAGCATAATCTAGTTAACAGCCAAGACGCCGAACATTACAGCATCTGTCATAACAATTTCCAGTAATGGTAAACCGGTAAACCATTACTTAAAACAGGATCAGTCATAACCTCAAAAACACTAACCACTATTTCGACATAATTAGTCACTTTTGACATAATCAGCCAAAATCTCGAGAAAAAGGCATTTCAGTATGACTAGTCACAATCGCAAGAAGGTGAGACATATATATCAGCCATAATCTCAAGAACATAAACCATTATTTCAACACAATCAGTCAATTTCTCAAAAGAAAAGACATTATTACAGCATAATCAGTCAAAATCTTGAGAAAATAAGACATTATGTTGATATAATCTGTTAAAATCTGTCAGAAAACATGAGAAAAAAACGTGACATTTCATGTTTCAAACATTATAAGCCTTTGAATAAAAACTTTAGAATTTTTAGTAGTAAAACTGCAAAATATCATGATTTTTGTTCTGAATATTTACTCAGGGGCCTGAAAAGCGTGCTCCCCTTTAAGTTTAATACACATTCGGTTTGGTAACCCACAATGTCTGGGTGGGTCAGCTCTGTGGCCATTTTATAAGAAACGCATGCTATATAGGTTCACTGTGTATTTTAGAATTAGCCCATCTGATGTTGCACAATTCCTCTACCCTGTTCATCAGTGGAAAGAAAAGTGACCACTGAATACTGATGAGGCCTTGAGGATGACCAACACAAAGCGTGCATCAACAGATGTCTTAGAATAAGAAATTGTAGCCCCCACTTTAAACACATTCTCCTAACAGCTTAGACGATCAGGGTGGCGTGATTCCTTTGTGAAACTGATACTGAATCTGGTTTTGTTTTTCGAAAGTGCTGGAGTGCAAAGATCAGCACTAGTAGTGAGATTATCAGTATGAAAAGAAATGAGTGCTGTGTGGGGGTGGTCTTATCTACATTTCCAGTCAGAACACATATGACTGAATGTGTGTTAATCTTAAAGACATTTTGATCTGATGAAGTTGATGCTTATGTGTTCATTTATTTTAAAACCAGAAATACAGACATATGTACACTGATCGTAGCATTGTATATGAAGTTTCATGTGTTTCACTTTTATTCTGAAACGTGGAAAATTGTTCAAATAGGGAAAATCCCACTGAAACTGAACGCTGTCTGAGTAGCTCTGTGAGAGCTGGTCAATTCCAGAAATTTCGGAGTCAGTTCAGATTATGTACATCAATTTAGATGATATCAGTTCCACACAATAATTTTGATTTAAAAAAAACTAGACATAGAGAAGGACAAAATACTGTGTATAATATTAATTATAGTTGAGCTTAGCAAGGAAATTTGGAGAGCTAATGCTAGATAAATAACTTTAGCTGACGGATTGGGGCTAAACAGTACATGGTTCTCCTCTGTCAACTCATTGAAGTAGGTAGATGTTTTGGTAATGGCAATGTTGTTTGATTTTAAGCCAGTTTTTCATAACTAATTTTACATTTTACTTCGTTTTCCACTTTGTCTAAAGTAAATTACAGCTGGACTTTCAGTGTGTGAGTTCTATTTTTCGGAAAGGCTGTGTAGAACAGTGACACGGGTGCAGGCAAATGGAAACATCACCGAGCCGACTCTTGTGATGTGCATGCCGACTAATTTTGACATTCGAGTATCCATAAGAGGTCATGAATGGATATCTGGTTAGTTGTGAAGGACAAACAATGTAAAAAAATAAGCTGTGAAAAACATCAGAGGGAAATCTGTGGAGTTAATTTTGTGCCAAATTATTTTATTTTACTAAAATAATAAAATTCACCAGCAAAATGTTAAGTAAAAAAGTTTAAAAAAATAAAAAAATGTTGCAAATACAAATAATGAGAGTTAATTTGAACTTCATTTTTCAAACTGATTACTACTTAATTTCTCTCACTTTGGTATACATTTATGACTCATTTTGCCAGTCTTTGCATTAGTTTTTCTCTTTGCTGATTTTGCTGATATATATTTTTGCTTCTGGAATCTCTCTTCTGCTTGAAATCTTTCTTTTCTGATTTAAACAGCTGCAAAGCTCGTTTAAGCACTGGGGACACTACACTTTTAAAGTCTTAGCAGATTATAAAAAGACTGGGCATTTCACAGACAATTTATTTTTGCAGATAATTTTGGGCGACCGAAATATTGGGGATCACACACGGAACGAATAGGGATCACACACTACTCAACTTTTAAGCTGTTGCTGAACCGAATGGACTTACTGACCTCACTCAAACTCACGCAAACTGTCGCGTTCTCTTGTTACTAGGAGACGCAAATAAACAAAGGTGGAGCTGCTGCTGCTGTTTTCTCTGCTGTTTGCACCAACACAGTAAAGAAGCAGCAGGTAAACATGCTTAAATGAGGATCATGGATTTAAAAATGTGATCAGTTTGGTATTTTAAGAGTTTTAAATGTACATAAACTCTATTGTGCCTTAAACTCAGCTCATTAAAAAGCTTCGCTCCACCCGTGAGAGACTTTTCGCCATTTTTTTCTTTGTTTACTTGCTGTATTTTTGTCTTTCACGCTCTCAGTTTTCATTGGCTGTTACAGGAATCCATTCAGATTGAGTCGTTGACCAGTTTACACTAGATTATGCTCAGAGTCGGGTCGTTTGATAAACTCCGACTGGTCTGAAACACAACCGGGAGGCCAAAAATCTGAGTCTGCGCCCCTCAGGCACGACTCCACTCTCTCTCCAACTGTTGACTCCAACTGACCCAAAAATCTGCAGACTAGAGCTGACCAGTCCAGACTAGGCCAGACTGAGAGTTGGGGCTAAAATGGGGGTAAAAGTCGTGTAGTGTTATCCCAGCTTTAATTAGCCTTTCAGCAGACGCTGCTATGCTAGTTAGCTCTAGCATCTATAAACCCAAAAGGTGGTGCAGCCTCATCCAACAAAAAAAGTTTCCCTTATATACTTAAATTTATGGCTCTAAGAGTGGGCAGGGCTAAGTGTTCAGAAGACCTGCCAGTCCAAATCAGTTGACCAACAGATACTGCAGGTGAGCGCCCTCTTTTAGGACCCGGCCCCTGTGAAAATGTGCCAAAAGTCAAAAGAAAGATTTCAGAAGCAACAAATACATCAGCAAAATCAGCAACTATAAAAAAAGGCAAGGCAAAATGAGTAATACATTTATATTAGAATCAGTGAAAATGAGTAGTAATCCTTTTAAAAATGTGGCATAATTTATCTCTCATATTTGCGTTGGATTTCAGTATTCAAATTCTGGCACTTTGAACAGTTAACTGAGTGCACATAGTCGACTCTCGATTCCCGAACCCCGGGAATCCGGGAATCTGTTCTTTTTAAGATCAACTCCCAGCCCTACTCAGTAGGTTCAAACTTTCTTAGTAGATTTAAACGTTTGACTGTTAGCATAAAGCCAGCGTCAGAATAAATGATCCTCTTGCTCCTACTCCTGCTCCAGGTGATGCTGTTGGAGAATACAACGCTCGTACTGGCTGCCTCCGACATCCTGAGCGAGGCATCCTGGGATAGCCTTACTGTCCCTACTGCTGTCCTGTGTAGCTTTCTGCTGGGTGAGTGTGTCTGTCTGTGTTGTAGCCTTTGTAGTCTGATGGGTAAGTAGGTTTGTAACAACTAGTACAGATGTCCATAGTTGCTGATGTACAGTTCTGTGCAACTTCATGCAGCGGGGAAAATTTTTTTAACTGTCTAAGATCAAACTATACTGAGCCTTACCTTTAGGCAGTAAACCTGTTTTGGATGAATTATTGCTGGTTTGGATTTTCTTGCTGTTAAAAGATGAAAAAAAAAACCCCACAAATGAATTATTGTAGAGAAAATGAATGTTGAATTTCTCAATGTGAATGACAGTTTGTTACATTTATTGAGATAAATACTGTATAAAATTATTTTCTGTAATTTTATCATTTTTTTTATTTATGCTACACAATTTTTATAGCACCAGCACTAAATGCTGGAAAAAGTTTACTCCATGTTACTCCAGTTTACTCAGATTAATACTTTTTTCTAAATCTTCTTATGCCATTTTTATCTCAGTGCTAAATGTATTTCTGCTGCTTAGGTTACATCCATGTGCTAATGACAGGCTTGTTGTTCGCTAGACAGTGTGCCTTCATTAGGTGTTGGACTGGTTTCGAAATTTCACCCTGTTTGTTCCCTTCCTAATAAGAGTATGTTTCCACCTACATTTAGCTCCAAAGTTTCTCATGGCTGAGACCACACCTGGCTCCGTGACACTACTGCAAATTATGTTAGAGTATAGGAAAATGAATATTCACTCATTTTAGACACAGTGTGTTTAAATCTATTATTTACAAACCAAGTTCCAAAGGACTTGTATGGCAGTATGTGAAATGCCAATAAAAGCAGAGAACAGTAATTAACAGAGAACAGTAATTAGTAAATTCTGTTTAACTTGTATGTATGAAATTGAAAACAAAGAAAAAACACAGCTTTTTTTGTACCTATGTGCTCTTTCCAAATATATGGCCTTGCTGTTGTAACATGCAGAATGGAGCTTGTTGTCATGTTGAAATAAGCATAGATGTCCCTGAAAAAGACGGCGTCTAAAAGGCAGCATATGTTGCTCCAAAATGTGTTAATGTGTTAATGGTGCTTTCACAGATGTGCAGGTTGCCCACTAATACTTTAACTTTACACTGGTAACAGTCTGGATGGTCCTTTATTTCTTAGGCCCAAAGAACACAACATCCATTTTTTTCCACAAACAATCTGAAAGGTTGACGCATCAGACTACAATAAACGTTTACACAGTGCATGAGTCCATTTTAGATTAGCTTGAGCTCAGAGAAGTCAGCAGCGTTTTTGGATGTTGACATATGGCTTTTATTTGTCATGTTGACATTCCGGCTATTTATGACTACAGCAGCATTCCTGCAGAGATTTCTCTATGTTCTTTGAATCTGTTTGATTGATATTATGCACCATGGAGGCTAAAATACCTAAAATCCTTGCAGTCACTATTTGAGAAACGTTGTTCTTAAACAGTTGGACTGTTTGCTGATGCAAGGGGTGAGCCTCGACCTATCCTTGCTCATTAAGCACTTAGCCTTTCCTGGATGCTCCTGTTATAACCAAGCATGATTACACCACCTCATTTAAAATGTTTTCTGAACTTTGGACAGTGTTCCTAGTCTTAAATTGCACTTCAGATCCCAACTTTTTTGGAACATGTTGCAGGCATCAGTTTTGGAAAGAGCATATATTTGCAAAAAAAAACAATGAAGTTGATGAGATAAAACATGAAAAATTTTGTCTTTGTACTGCTGTTTAAATACAGGTCAAAGTGGATTTACAAATCACTGTGTTCTGTTTTTTATTTGCATTTCACATAATGTCCTTTTTTGGAATTGGTTGTACAAGTGATTCCGAACGGTGTTATATGAAATCTACGCTATATGGACAAAAGTACTGGGACACCTACACATTAAACCTATAGGGAGCTTTCCTGACATCCCATTCTAAATCCATAGACATTAATATGGAGTTGCTCCCCCTTTGCAGCTATAACAGCTTCCACTCTTCTGGGAAGCTTTCTACAGATTTTGGTGAGTGTCTGTGGGAATTTTTGCCCATTCATTCAGAAGAGCATTTGTAATGTTGGACACCGATGTTGGATGAGAGGGCCTGGCTCATAACCTCCGTTCTAGTTCATCCTAAAGGTGTGTGATGGGGTTGAGGTCAGGGCTCTGTGTGGGTCAGTCAAGGTCTTCCACACCAAACTCACCCAGCCATGACCTTAGGGACCTTGCTTCGTGCACTGGGGCTCAGTCATGCTGGAACAGAAAAGGTTTTTCCCCAAACTGTTCACAGAAAGTTAGAAGTGTACAATTGTCCAAAATGTCTTGGTGCCGAAGCATTAAGATTCCCTTCACTGGAACTAAGTGTTCTAGGCCAACCCCTGAAAAACAACCCCATATCATCATCCCACCTCCACCAAACTTTACAGCTGGCACAGTGTGGTCAGGCAGGTAACGTTCTCCTGGCATTCGCCAAACCCAGACTTGTCCATCAGACTGACAGATAGAGAAGCGTGATTCATCACTCCACAGAATGCGTTTCCACTGCTTCAGTCCAGTGGTGGCACTTTAGACCACTCCATCCGATGCTTGGCATTGTCTTTGGTGATGTAAGGCTTGCATGCAGCTGCTCGGCTATGGAAACCCTGCCATGAAGCTCCCGACACGCAGTCTTTGTGCTGATATTAATGCCAAAGAAGGTTTGAACTCTGCAGTTATTGAGTCAGCAGAGCCTTAGAGACTTTTATGCACTATGCTCCTCAGCACTCAGCGACCCGCTCTGTAACTTGACGTGGTCTGACTCTGTGGCTGAGTCACTCTGGTTCCTAAACGCTTCCACTTTTCAGTAATACCACTCCCAGTTGATCGTGGAATATCTAGATGGGAGGAAATTGAACAAACTAACTTGTTACAATGGTGGCATCTTATTACAGTACAATGTTAAAATTCAGTAAGCTCTTTAGAACGACCCATTCTTTCACTAATGTCTGTAAAGGCAGGCTGCATGGCTAGGTGCTTGATTTTTATACACCTGTGGCAAAGGGACTGAATAAATTCAATGATTAAGTGTGTCCCAATACGATTGTCCATATAGTGTATATATTCTCTCTCTCTCTCTCTCTCTCTCTCTCTCTCTCTCTCTCTCTCTCAGGTCTGACGTCTCTGGTGCTGTATTATCGCTTCCTGCACCCGAAGTCCACCGAAATCTCTCAGGGTCTGCGTCATGGAGCCCACATGGGCAGCGCGTGTCTGGACCAGGGCGAGTCTTCTTTCTCTCTGGGTGACAAAAGCCTGGCTCCTGCCTCTCTGCCTCTCTCCTCCTCTCATCCCTCCTTCTCTCTCTCGGGCATCCCTAGCTCCTTGCTGGAACACGCGGGCAGCTGCGGGGTCAAGGCGGACGGAGAGTGCCGTCACCATCACTGGCTGCTGGTTCGACTGGCGCTGAAGACCGGTGACCCAGCCAAAATAAATCAGGCGTATGGCGCCGGGGGGGTTGGAGGGATACTGGCGGAGGAGGAGGAGCGTAGGAAAGGAGAGAGTGTAGACGGAGGAGAGATGGGGGGCGTGTCACGGTCTGACAGCAAAGACGACACTCTGGCTCCTCTGTCGGACTGCAAGGAGGAGTTTGAGAGCGTGAGCGAGGCGAGAGAGGACGAAGAGGAAGAGGAGGAGGAGCAGGACGAAGATAACAGTACGTCATAATTTTTTTCGTGAACAAATTAGTTAACTTAGTTCGCAGTGGTAGTGATGGGAACCAGACATTTGAAGAGTTTAATGCCTCTAAAAGCTCCCTCACAAAAAGTTATATATATCAAATGGTTATGAATACAGTGCTTTATGCCTGAGACATGTTTTATGAAAGTTTTGGACTAAAATGTATTTTGAAAATGTATGAACAAGAATGGCTTTATGAGACAAAATAGTCCCCAAAGCATGCATTTTTATATTTATCACTATTTTACCGTCATAAACATTACATATAAAAACTCTCTGGTGGTTTTGAATAGTGAATAAAATGGCTGTATTTGTAACATCATGATCCCTGGTTCCTATCACCACCACTGTGCTAGAAGCTTAAATCTGGCATTTTCTTTAACTTTTAGTGAGCAGCTTCTGTTTGTGTGTCTATTTTTAACATACTGGGGAAAAAAAACATTAAATATAAAATGTGCCCTAACTTCTGCACAGGACACATTTTATGTTTATTTTTTCCCCAGTATGTTAAATTCAACTAATAAAAAGTACACTTTTAAACAAAATGGTGCTTCAAGGGTTCTTTAGTAAAGAAAATGGTTCTATTTAGAATGATGAACACTCAAAGAACCCTTTGCATGATCAAAGGATTCTTTGCATCATTAGCGTTCTTCACATTGATGGAAAATGTGCATGATGTGCTATAGACGGTTCTATATAAGAACCTTTTTGAGAAAGGTTCTATATAGCACCCAAAGGGTTTTTCTGTTGTTACAAGCTTGAAATTGTAACAATAGAAGAACCCTTTTGGGTACTATATAGAACCATTTTCAAAAAGGTTTTGTATAGGACCATCTACAGCACACTCTCCATCAGTCTGACGAACCCCTTTCATGATGCAGAGAACCTTTTAATCATGCAAAGCGTTCTTTGAGTGATCATGGTTCTATATAGAACCATTTTCTTTGCTATGTTTTACTATTTGACTTCTCAACCTCTGATCTCTGTATTGGCTCGGCTACATTGTAAATGAGGGTCTCCTTCAGTGTACTCCGAGTTTAAATAAAGGTTGGTTGGTTGGTGGTTGATTGATTGGATTGATTGATTACTAAAGAACCCTTAAAGCACCAGCTTTTTTAAGAGTGTAGTTGTGCATCTGTTCTCTGTAGAGGCTGTCTACTTATTTGCACTTACAAAATCAACAAAACATGACAAGGATTGTATTTAAATTTTTATTATCTTTCTTTCTCTGTAAGGTGACAGTCTGGAGATGGAGAGTCCACTAGAGTCTCCGGAGTCGGAGTGTAAGCGCAGTTCTCCTGAGGGGAAGTCTGTGTTTGGAGACAGTCCAGAGCCTAATTACTGCCCCACCGAGTCCAGCTCCACGCTTTACTTCAGCGCTGACCCACAATCCCCTAGTAGCGCCAGCAACTCCCGCCTGGACCGCCTGGACCGTGACCCACGATTCAGCTTCGGCTCAGGAGCTGCCATGGAGGCTTTCGGGGAGCCCAGCCTGGCCTCCAGCGACCGCGACCTCATGATGGGAGTCCTGGGTCGGGGCGGCCCCTGCTACACCTCTGCCCCCCGGCTGGATGCCCCAGGGCCTCTGGAAGGCTCTGCTCCCCACCTGTCCGGCCCCCGCAGACAGCTGGTGCTGTCTCGACGAGGCCTGGAGGACGACTCAGGCCTCTGAGGAAGAAAAGTTTGAAGGGAGAGTTTGGAGGAAAATCAGATTTACACAGTTTTCCTCCTAAATGCAGCCAAGAGACGTGCTTAAAGGGGAATGGTTGAAAAATTCTGCATAAATCAATCATTTAAATTTAAACAAAGTCATTCAGAGTGGTTTGATGGACCAGCTCACACACTGGTGGCCATAGGAACCAAAGGTCACCATGTTTAATAAAGCCTTTATGTATATCAGTTGTACTTATTATCCAAAATAATCAGCAAACTTACAAGTGTTCTCAGTTTTATGTAATACTTACACTTAAAAATGAGGGGTTCTTTAGTAGAAAATGGTTCTGTATAGAACCACGAACACATAAACAACACTTTGCATGCTTAAAGGGTGCAGATTAATGCAGAACGTGCTGCAGATGGTACCAAATACAACTTCTTTAGAAAGGGGTTCTATATAGCACTAAAAAGGGTTCTTCTATTGTATCAAGCTTGACATTGTAACAATAGAAGAACCCTTTTTGGTGCTATATAGAACCCCTTTCTAAAGAAGTTGTATTTGGTACCATCTGCAGCACGTTCTCCATCAATCCGAAGAACCCTTTCATGATGCAAAGAACCCTTTAATCATGCACAGAGTTCTTTGAGTGCTCGTGGTTCTATATAGAACCATTTTCTTTACTAAAGAACCCTTGATGAACCATTTTTAAGTGTGTTGGTGAAAGTAAAATAGTGATAAATCAGAAAAAATATTCATTGGGTTCTGTTTTGTCTTTGAATTGTATTTACCTATGAATGGATGAAAACTATACGTTTTAAGCTAAAACCATATCTCAGATCTATCATAAAACACTGTATCAGACACCAGGCAACGCCTTTAAAACCATTTGGTGTAATATATCTCTGTTATGTGGCATTTAGAGGCATTAAATGCTTCAGATGTCTGGTTACTATAACTAGAACATGGCATTTAACATCAAACCACCCTGTAATGTGGACAGGAGTCCATCGCATTGCTAAAAACAGTACTATCAGCCATCGTGAAGCCTGAATTTTGTTCATAATTTTGTCCAAGTTTATCGATCACAGTGTATCATACAGTGTCAGAAACCACATAAGCAAATCTATTAGAGATTACTTAATGTTAAATGACATTGATATGTCACTTGTGCGATACAAGTAAACATAAATTATTGCAAGCAAAAAAGTTAGCTAATGATAGCATTTCGCTAGCTAGCTTGTTAGCAGCAATCCAGCACCAAAAGTTTAGTACGTTATTCCTAGACATGTACTCTTTTATACAAGATCACGTTTGGCCCCAGCTAGTTGGCTGACGTTTATTTTTTTTCATATACTTTTATTCTTTTTTAAATAACAGTATGTGTTTGATCATTTAGACAATGCTAATTGGCTAATTGTTTGTTAGCTAGACATTGTTTATTAGCATTAGCCCCATAGCTACAAAACTGAAGGAGCAAACCTCAGACACTAAACGTGCCCTGGCTAATTGTGTGCATTTGGGTAAAAGGGGAATTCCACCAATTTTTCAAAAATTTTTGTATAAATCAGTCCTTGAGATGCAAACTGAGTGGTTTGATGAGAAATGGAGAAACTTACAGACTCAGATTTCTTTACAGTGATGGTGATAGGAATCAGGGGTCGCCATGACTACAACACAAATATAGCCATTTTATTTACTATCCAAAAACACTAGTGAACCTACACGTCTTCTGAGTTTTTATATGTAATGATAATGTTGATGATGGTAAAATAGTCAGAAATCTGAATCTGAAATAATCAGAAAATGTGAAGTACGTTTTCTTTGGGGACTGTTTTGCTTTAGAACACCTTTTTTGTATCCCTCCACTATGAATATATTAAAATGAACTGATTAAAATACATTTTATGCCTAAATTTTCTCACAAAACTGCTGCAAAACAATGTCTCAGACACCACACTGTCATAACTTTCTGTGAGGGAGCTTTTAGAGGTGGACGTCTGGTTCCTATCACCATCACTGTGAACAATTCTGACTCGGTAAGTTTCTTTAAAATGGAGCATTTCACATCGAACGGCTCTGAATGACTTTGTTTACATCTTAACCATTTAATTTTGTAGGAATTAGGAAGGAAAAATCAGTGGAGTTCCCCTTTAAGGGTGGCGACTGTGTATATTTGATTTTTTGCCTTTAAAACAAGAACTGAAATGGGGAAAAAACATGCTACATATGTAAAAATTCACATTGAACATTTGAAACCTGAGCAGTGACACTGAACACATACCATGACACGATATTCATAACATTATAAATATTCCATTATTCTATGGCTGTGAAAACTGAAAATAGATGTTTGTGTGCTGTAAACCTTTCTCTCTGTCTGTCTCTCTCTCTCTCTCTCTCTCTCTCTCTCTTCTCTTTCTGTCTCTCTGTCTGTCTGTCTCTCTCTGTCTCTCTCTCTGTCTCTCTGTCTGTCTCTCTCTCTCTCTCTCTCTCTCTCTCTCTCTCTCTCTCTCTCTCTGTATAAATCAACATGCTGCAGGTGGGGTTGAAAAGCACAAGCCGCAGGCCGTTTTTCACTTCTGTCTGACTGAATCTGAAATCGCTGCCTGTTTGACACGAGCGCCAAACCACGACACGTACATTTACAACAGCATGCAATATTATTACATGCAGATCAGCTCTGCTGGAACAGAGACTAAAACAACAGAGTGATCGGTTGCCAGCCGCTGATCATGTCTGTGAAATTGCATGTGCAGAAATGTGCCATGCCGATGGCTTTTGCAACATCTCCCCAGGCTATGCTCAAGCTGTAATGCACTGTTTATTGTATTTATGCCAAGTAGGGAGCTATTTTTTGATTCGGTCTCAGTGTCGGGGCTTCATCTCTGATGCTGTTATTATCCTGTATTTCACAAAGCGTCTCTAAACAGAAGCCACATAGTTCTGTAGCTGACTGAGCCATATGTCCAAAAGAATTTGGACAGTATATAAAATGCAAATAAAAACAGAAAGCAGTGATGTAAAAATACACTATGACCTGCATTTAAATTAAGACAGTACAAAAGTAGATATTTAATGGTTCAACTTCATTGTTTTTTTGTAAATGTACACACATTCTGAACTTGTTACCTGTTGGGACAGGCATTTAAATTTACGTTCACAGCATTTAGCAGGCACTCTTATCCAGAGCGACTTACAAAAGTGCTTTGTTGTCTACTCAGAGAAAGTATCTTTGCTAGTACAAATAGGTTAGAGAAAAAGTTACTCCTGAGCTCAGATAATGCTTGAGACAAAAGCCTATGTTCATACCTATAGAAAAGCAGCAGAATTAGACATAGTGCAATACATTTCAATGAGTGAAATAAGGTATTTCAATAAAGTACTTATATTAGTGCTCACTTAAGTGCTGTAAAAGGAGATGCATCTTCAGTCTGTGTTTGAAGACCGCGAGAGGTTGTTTGTGGAAATAATAGACATTGTGTTCTCCAGGCCAAAGAAGAAAAGAACTATAACCATCAATTCAGACTGTTACCAGCGTAAAGTTCAGAAATCAGAGTTTGCACATCTGTGAAGGCACCATCAACATTGAATGATATATACACACATTTTGGAGCTACATATGCTGCCTTCTAGATGACATCTTTTTCAGAGATGTCCATGCTTATTTCATCATGACAAAATCATGCCACATTCTGCATGGTTGCGCAGATTTCAAAACTGAATTGATCGGTGTCTTCAGTCCACAAACGATAACTTTGTGTTGTTAAAAAGTAAAGTTATGTAACACAGTAGTAAACATGCTCCTGTCACAACTTCTTTAGAAAGAGTTGCAGGCATCATATTTGGAATGAATGTGTATTTACCAAAATAAACAAAAAAACAACAGAGCCTATAAGATAAAACCTCAAAGCCGAATTTACTAATCACTGCTGTCTGTTTGTATTAGCATTTCACAAAACTGTCCCAACTTTTTTGGAATTGAAGTTGACATTTTAGGTATTTAAAAACTATGAATAAGTATCGATGGTAGCCATGATATGCTCAGAAAAACATATTGTGATGTGATTTATAACAGTAATGATAAATATCATCATATTGTCCACCCCAATTCTATGTGATCCTGGGTCAGGAAGCTTTATCTAGAGACAGCTTCTCAATGCGGTCTAAACAGCGAACAGTCACTTAACTAAGTCTGTTAGCTTCTGGCTTGATTTTTGATTTCCTATAATAATATATTGAAGTAGACATTTACAGATTATTATCTGACAAAGAAAAAGGAATCAGATTTAAGCTGCACAGCATTACAGCTGTCGAAAAGCAGCCTGAGAGACTTTAGATTGTTTTTTTTATACAGTTGGTTGAATTTGAGAAAAGAAAAAATTCCAATTTGTGCTGTATAGTGTTTTTGTATGCAGGTTTAGATCTGGTCCTCTTCAGTAGTTATTCAAGGTCTTCAGGAGCTGAATCACTGTGTTAGAAACACTAAACTGCTCTGGACGCTTGCTGGTCAAAAGTTTGAGCACTTGATGTAAAATAATCTTTCCAAAAATGTATTCATTTTGAGGGAAAGCGCCCAATATGTTTTACTTAACTTTGAATTAATGTGCACATTGATATCCCTTTGCTTTGAGTCACCAATTTATTTTCTACTATTTTCTATTTTTCTTATTTATTCTTTTATAAGCACACATATAGTGATATATTAAGTGATTATATACAGGTTTGTACACTTTTATGCCTTAAACTGCATGCCCATTATTCAGTTATTAATATTTTTATTCAGTAACTACAAGTCATTCAGTGACTACTATGAATTATTAAGTAACTACTGTGAAATATTTAGTTACTACTGTGAATTATTTAGTTACTAATATTAGTTATTAAGTAACTACTATGAAGTATTGAATAACTACTATAATTTATTCTGTAACTACTATGAATTATTCAGAATTGAAGTGTGGGCCAGTAGAGTTTAAGGGGTTACAACATGGATAATCATAAAAAATCTGAAATAAATGTCCTCTAACTTTTGACCAGTAATGTATATCAGGCTTATATGTGAGTCTGTTTTACTGTATGTGCTCTTTAATTGATAAACACAAACTTTACAGAGGTGAACCAGTGTTACAGGGCTATAATCACCGCTTGTTGTAAAAGGGGAATTGTACAGCTGAACTAAATAGCTCATTGGGTTACAGTGGACAACAAGCAGTGGACCTTCCTCAGGTTTGGATCATTTTGCCAGAACATTTTAGAGTGCAAGTGTAAAAGGTGTTACAGAAAATGCATGACAGTTCTATTGAGAAGTATTATTTGTACTGATATTTGCCCAACCCCGCAGCATAGATCTTCCCCCAAAATGGCCTAGTTTTGAGCTGAGATGAGGCCTCAGTCATAGCCTTTTTTAGACCACTGAAACAAGACATTTATTACAGGAAATACCGATTGGACCACTGAAAGTACAGGTGAACTGACCTATTCATGCTCCATAATATGTTTTTTCAAAGCACATGTTGCTAGGCCAGACAAGCTTTACACAATTTTAGCCAAAATTCCATTCAAATTTAAAAAGAAGCTCAGTTTTTGTTAAATTACATAAATTAAGAGTGTATTAGAAAGCAAAGGGGTACACCTAGCTAGAGGATGGGAATTAGCCACGACTAAATTATGGAGAAAATTGACTAAAATCCCCCAAAATATTTTATTGTGTATGTGTGTGAAAGTTTACACTGTTGTCGAACTAACATTAGCATGGTGACAAACTCGTCATTATCATTTCTGACCTGCCTTGTTTCAATTAGCTACAACAACACAGTTCAGCTCGGTTGCGTAGCATGTTATCTTGAAACTCAAGGGCTGTGTCTCGATTTGCTCTGTTTTTAGTGAATTGGTTGAATTCGGGCACTAGCTAGGTCCCTGGTAACAGGAGCAGCAAGACACAGTACGCAATAATGCAGTACCAAGAAATACTGGGAACAACTGGGAAGCTCATCCATTGTGTTGTGCTTAGCCAAACAGTTGGTTTTGCAGTGGGATTCCTGTCATTTCATGAACGAGACTCAAATACAGCCGTGTCAGTCCCTCATAATGCCGTTTTTCATTCAATTAACACTGCTAGCATTATGCTAATTTCCCTTAGGGTTGTCCAGTGTAGCATTAGCGCCAAGCTAACCGTGGTTCCCCTGAGCAGTTGACGTCAGCTGCAGCCAAAACACAGTCAAATGATGACCGAATAGACATTCTGTTATTTCAGTAACATTTTATATGACCCTTTCAGTAATTTAAATTTGAACCCTGTAACTGAACATTTCTGAAGGGATCTTATTAGCCTGTTAGCTGTTTGCCTGGTAGCATGTCAGCCTAGCTTAATGTTATATTTTGTTTATGAAATGAATAAATAAAGTGCAATACTTGTGAAATACAGCATACTATTATATGGAATGTTATATATATTATTATTATTATTATTACATAGATAGTGTGTAGCTAGAGGCAAACATTAATGCCTCAACATATGTTAAATCAGTGAGAAATGCAACCAACTGGTTAGCTAAGTAGCTAACAGGTTACTGTGAAGATTTCAGCTTGCTAGAACAAAACTCCCCAGAGGCAAACATATTTCAGTCCTCTGGCTTGATAGGGTTGGCACCCCGCTGTTGGCCACTGCTGGTCCACCCTCAGACCACCCAGATTACTGTCCTGCATACAAGTTCTCACTAGTTTTTTAATCTCCCCAAGCAGGTACAAAATGCGGAGAGCCTTTTATTTTAGAAAATAAAAAAGACAAATATTACAAGCAACTGAGAGAAAAAAAAAAAGACTAGTCCTGATGTAAAGTGATTTTATAGAAAATGTTGTTACTGACACTGAGCTAGATTAAAATGATTTACCAAACTAATTTACAAAGTATAACTAAAGAATAGAAGGAAGGAGAAAAAAAAAGGTAAATTGGACTATGAGTGGATGATAAGTGAAATTTTGTCTAATACACTGCTTAACCACTGGTGGGCCGCCCAGAAAACGCTGAGCAAAACACCAGTGGACCGCCAGCTTTGCCATTAGTGGACCAACAGCAGCCCACTCTCCTCTTGCTATCAGGGTCTTCTTGTTGTAGGTTTCCAAAAAGTCAAACTGGAAATGTGATACTGTTTTCTGTCAGGGAGCAAAGTGAACTGAACTGTTGAACTAAGGAGCTCTTTTTTGTGAAGCTTGTACAGCCTCAACAACTGTAGCTATGAAAGAATGCATTTGTGGAGCGGAGTGTGGATATAGGTCAGCTCTGACTGGACCATGTAAGACAGGCTATAGTTCAGAGATGTCTTGACTGGACCGCTGAAACACACAGTAATTTAAAAGTCTGACTGGATGCCTGTACATTAATGATATGTATATGGCGGTACATGTAAAATCCATTGTTTTGGACTTGTTTTTGGTGGTTTTGTAATCCATTTTGCTGTTGTAACCAGTGTTCCCTGTGTTAATGACCTGTTCTGTCCTTTCTGTTTCACCTTTACTATTGTACAAAGCTGTACAGTTTATATATGTTTGGCAAAAGACTAAGAAATAACAATATATAGCATATTCTTTGTACAACATTTTCTGCTTTATATGATTTTTACAAGAACTCAAGGACTACACAATGCAGGAATGTACAGTTGTGCTCCATATCACATCTGTGTGTGTTAATATCTGGTGAACTGGTGTGACTTTGACCAGCTACTGTTGCTGTTTTTTTTCTTTTCCTCTGATTGAGAGGTTTGGAAGAGAAAAAAAAGATTTGAACATATGCATAAAATGACATTTAATCGTCAATAATTATTTGCATGCAGTTTTATAATAATGGTAGCTTAAGTAATACAAGCAAAACGATGGGGGTTACATAATGTTTCTATGTGAAAAATCCATCTACTGTTTGCTGTAAGGCCTTCATAAATTCAATAAATGAGAGATGTGTCCTAATTATGATGTTTCTAATTTTGTTTGGAGCAGAATTTATTTTGCATTATGAATAGCAGGTTGTTTTGGTAGTTTGTATACGATGAAATTGCTCTTTCTGTTTTTTTTCCCTGGTTGTGCTGTTGAGTTCAATTCACATTACATAAAAAGATCTGAGTCAAGGGTCAAAACATTAACCTCTTCAACTCCTTGAGACCACCGGTGGTTCCAAAACGCACTTCGTCATATTCTTCATAACTTTCATATTCCATAAGCTACATTCAGAAGGTGGGGGTCATATGAGAGCTGTAACTGTCTTCTTTCCAGTCAAATAGATGGGTGATATAATTTTAAACCCTTATAATAGAAGAAGCTGAACACACTTTTTTTTTTCTACTGAAAGTCGACCCATTTTTCCACAAATCTGGGCTATAAACTATAAATAGATGGCGTCTCTTCAGTGATACTCTGTAAAAATTATTTTTGGCTTTCAGCAGTAAATTGTAAGTTATATCAATATGTGTATGATCATAAAACACGTCCTGTTAATTTGAGGGGAGCTTTTACCAATAAATAAATACATAAATAAAATAAAATAAAATAAAAATGTACATTTATTTCATGCAGTTACTGAATAATTTGCCTTACGATTTGGTCATGTAAATTCAGATAGAAAAACCAAAATATACCCTGGAGAATAAGAGGGGGATTCTGGCCTAAAACTAGCATTTAACATGTTATTTGTCCTGTTATGTAATATTCTGTAGCTCTGCATTGCGTCTCTCAGCCTCATTGATTTGACAAAATTCATAATTTTGTACCGTCCATCAGTGTCATCTCACTACACCAGGGGTGCATAACTCCAGTCCTGGAGGGCCGGTGTCCAGCATAGCTTGGTGATCTTGCTGCTCAGACACACCTGATCCAATTTCTTTGTTAATTGGCAGGTTTACAAGATGTGTTTGAGTAGGGCATCTACCAAAATGTACAGGACACCGGTCCTCGAGGACTGGAGTTGTGCACCCCTGCACTACACTGTCCAGCATCTATTACAACATGTGAATACTTCTCACAAGCACTGGGAATCCCCTCATAAAGAAATCCACCAATACAGAGGCTAATGGATACAACAGAGCACTATGATCCTTATACTTTTATAGGAAATGACCACTTGTTTAAATCTCCAGTTGACCAGATTCAACCAAAAGATCAGCCACAGCTTATCTAACTGTTCCGCTTACGTCGCCTGCAATCAGGAATGTCCACAACGCTCCCTTTAAGAGACGCGCATGCGCAGAAACGCTCAGAAAGTTCCTAGCAGACAGTGAAGTTTTGGAGAAGGACGGAGGTGGAGGGAAAAAAAGAAGTAAAGAAAAGTCTGGAAGTTTAGAAATGGCCTTTCGTAGACGAAATAAGAGCTACCCTTTCTTCAGCCAAGAGTTCCTCATTCAGAACCACGCAGACATCGTCTTCAGTCTGGTCATTTTTATTTTGATAGGGCTGATGTTCGAGGTATGTTCAGCACTCCCTTCTTCTTCTTCTTCTTGTTTGTGTTTTTCTTCGCTTCGCTCAGCTGTTGTTTTTTTCCTTGACAGCTTCTGCTGAGGGAGGGTTAAGTTTTCACAGCCTGTGCTGGTAGATTAAACATAAATTTTGCTTATTTTTCTGTTTTCTTGCACGGAAAGTTGAATCCGAGTAGCTCAAATATTCGAATTTTCCGTTCCACCTTAAATGGTGCAGCAGTAACATTCTGGCGCCTGAGGCGCCAGAATGTTACTGCTGCACCATTTAAGGTGGAACGGAAAATTCGAATATGAAGCTAACTTTTCAGCTTCGCCAGAAGCTCGTAGGTGTCAAGGAGGATTATTTGGTGTATTTGGTTTGTTTGAGTGATTAAAAATCGCAGAATCTTTGACGAAATCTGGCACATCTCGGCTGTAAAGTTAGCTTATCTGCCTTTCACTCCACACTAGCTAGATAAAGCTAGTTAGGTTAGTTAGTTCACCGCAAAGTTAACGCCAGGTTTGCTGTTAGCAGCAAAAGGCTTAACTCCATCGCAGCCGCCTTAGTGATGGAAGTTTTGGGGAGTTAAACGACTCAAAACTGGGATTTAGCTTTGACACTGGTTTTCTTATTTGCTAATATTGCCCAGACACCCCTCACTCCTCCCCATCCTCTCTCTCGGCTGCAGATGTCTAACTGCCACGTCTCAGTCCTTAAGCTGAGCTTGACTACAGTGGCCTTACAGTCGAGACCTATTTCTCCTCTATTTAAAGGGAAACTCCACCAGTTTTTCAAACTTTGTGAATAATTCACTCCTTGAGATGTAAACAAGGCCGTTCAGCGCGGTTTGACGTGAAGTAGTTCATTGTAGAGACTCATTTCTTTACTGTGGTGGTGATAGGAGCCAGGGGTCACTAGTGAACCTGCAAGTATCTTCTGAGTTTTTGTTTGTAGTGTTGATGATGGTAAAATAGTCATAACTAAGAAAATAATACGCTTCCTTTGGAGACTGTTCTTGCCTTTACAGTGTAAGGATGGAAAAAATGGATTATAATAGGTTTTAAGCCAAACATGTATCACAAAACTATCATAAAGCACTTTGTCAGGCTTTGTCAGGCAGTGTAGTCATAATCATTTCATGTACTAACTTTCTGTGAGGGAGCTTTTAGAGGTAGATGTCTGGTTCCTATCACCACCACCGTGAACAGCTCTGACTCTGTAAGTTTCTCTAGAACAGAGCATTTTGAACCAAACCGCTCTGAATGACTTTGCTGACATGTTGATAATTTGATTATGCAGAAATTTTTGAAAAATTGGAGGAGTTCCCCTTTAAGCCCCAGTTATTCATGAGCTAATGGCTGGCTGCGTTTTTTAATCACCACCGTTTTCCCCTAACGTTGGTGCTAATATGCTCGGTCAGTTGGGCCCTTTCAGGGAGTCTAGGAACTTTACTCTTCATTCCTCACACTGGCTGTTTTATGTAAGGTGAAGTGAGTCCATACCAGACTGTTTCTGATCCGCCTGAAGTTGCACATGGACATTTTCAAACTTTCTGAGACATTAAACTGAATTCTCACACTTCTCCTCTGGGTCATTCAGTGTTATAGACATGCGCCGATGTTCATTAATAAGGTATATCGCGATATTCAACGAGCGCAATGTTGTTATCGTGGACATGAAATGCTGTCACTGCATTTTAGTCAAGCAAGTTACAGTTTAACCAGAGATGTTTTAGATCCCCAGAGTAGCTCTGGTTTCACAAGGTCCCACTGTGTGGTCACATTGTGATCCCATGCCTTATTTGATACTTTGAGTGTGTTACTGCTTTGGTCACCTTCACAGCAACAATATTTGTTATGATGTATCTGATGGATAAAGAATATTATAACCACTGTTTAGTGCTCATAAAGCAGTATAGCAGTATTCCTACTTCCAAGCAGTTTGTTTTGAGCTTATTTTTTGTTCAATTGGTGTTTTTGGCTCTGTAACTTTAGTGTAACTAATAATAATAATAATAATAATAAAGTTTTTTTTTACTTCTCCATGATGTACTTACAAGCTACTGGCTAAGCTCAAAAGTTGTTTTTTTATTTGAATTTTCCGTTCCACCTGAAATAGTGCAGCAGTTTCGTTCTGGCGCCTCAATTTAAGGTGGAACTAAAAATTTGAATATTTAAGCTATTTCGCTACTGATTTTGCAGCAAAAAAACAGTAAAATAAGACATATGTATGTACAAATCTTGTGTATCCCTGTTGTTGGAAGAAAACCCTGTATCTCCGTTTTTGACGTTTTTCAGTTTTTGACATAACTTGAAAATGCCTGTTGTCCTTTACATTGTGTATAAATTTGATGATCAATGGACCTAAAGAAACAGCCCAAAATTTTTGGAGATACGAGGTTTTCTTCCAACAACAGCGATATTCTTCTTTATAAAGTGATATAAGTAGACAAATAAATAATAAGTAAATAATAAATAAGTAACAAATAAATAATACTGTCAGTACAGTTTGATATATTTAAAAAACAGTGTTCATTCAATGGCGTCTGTTTGTCTCTCCCTACAGGCCACGGCAAAAACAGCCATTCTCTTCATTCAGCCACAGTACAACGTCAGCACACTGATCCCAGGTACAACACGTACATACATGCATCTTGTCCTTTCATCACAACCTTTCACCTGAAAAAGCCCAGAATGAGCAGATTTATGTGCTTTCTAGACGGAGAGGTGACTCTGTATCATTACGGTTGGAAAGACTGTGCCACTGTCCTGTTCTATCTCTTCATCACCATCATCCTCCATGCAGTAGTCCAGGAGTACATACTGGATGTGAGTATTACATTGCATGTGATCACATTAGTAGTAATGGGTATTTGGGAGAGGACGATATGGCAGTAATGTATTATTGTGATACTGAAAGTTGTTCACGATACACAGTGTGTATCCTGATATTTCGCTTTCCGTCTGTCTACAATTGACCAAAATTCAAAATTTAAACAAGTCCCGCCTCTCCTAGTTACTGTCATCATGTCCATCAAACTCTCAGCTCAGACATCCACAGAGCTTCTTGGTAACAGGCTAAAAAGTCCAGTAGCACGAACAGAGATGTAGAGGGGAACATTTTAAAAGATTTTATGGTAACACTTTCTATGAATGTCACGTTTGTAAGCATCTATAAACACATTTATAACAAGCACATTTATAAACATGATTATAAACATTTATAAAAATTAATTACACTGAATTACACTTTATAGCCATGTTTATTATACATTATGAATTGTTAATATAATGCATTATAAGTAGTGTTGATAACATGTTATACTGTCAGTGCCAAAGAAGTCAGTCCCAGCTTGGAGACTGCAAAGTAAAGACAAATACCAAGCTAACGGTGGTGCACATTGACTTTCCCACATTGGGTAAAACACTGATGGCAGCACTAGTTTAAACTCTGACATTTGAAGCCTGTAATGTGCTTTACTGTGTATGTTTTAGTGTTTCAGTAAATTTTCTTTGAGCTGAAATGATGTTAATGATTGTGTATAATTACTGTATACTAGCTATTTCTTATGCACATTACAGTACACGCTCGTTCTGACAGTGAGCTGTGAGTTTGATCTAAATCTGTAATGTTTTAAAGCATCACTTTATTCATCATTGCAATCATAGCTGTTATCCAGGTAATAGTCTGAAAGGGTTAAAGTCTAGGAGCTGTGTGACATTGCTGGCTAATCACTGTACACAACGATCACTCAACTGTAGTCTGTGAATAGTATTACCATATTTGACCAAATTAGAAAGACTGCAAAACATTAAAGTAACATTTTTTCCTCTGTGTGTGTTACAAGCTTTAATCGTCCATGTTTAAGGTATAGTATGAAAAAGACACACTCGTTGGCTTGATGCTAACATTACATGGGAATTCCCATTGATGGGCTGACGGAAATGTGCATTATGCTAGTGGTGGAAATTTTAATAAACGATGCTACTTATTAAACGAAGTAGCATTTTTGGATTAAACATTGCTGTATTTAGGGTGGACGTAAACAAGTGGCGTGCTTTTATGACTTTTTATGGTTTTATATTTTAAGACATTACTTGTGTGCATTACGCTCAGTCATCCGTTAAGCATCCCAAAACATTTCAAACATCATCCCGCACGCTATTTTTATCATCCCAATGGCGTGTCCGGAGCCTTGATACCTGCAGTGTGCTCAGAAAGCGAACTGTGATAATACCGTCATAACAGCCATCCTTATTGGGTATTATCTATAGTTTAATTGTTAAGATTGTCGTATATTATTTTGTGGAATGAATGTGAGACAGATGTAAGACAACACCCCTTTAACTGTGGTACAATCACTGTAACACATGAGTGGATTGTTTATTTTTAACAATGTAAAAATGACTGTAAATATCCTGACCGTGAAGTGCTTTAAACAAATTACTGAAGAAAATAATTTAATAAATGACTTAAATTATTAAATGTAGTGGAACCTAAAGCTGGTTTGGGGATTTGGAGACCTCTCTGGTGGAAGTGTGTAACTACATGCCTCGTGTGGAAGAACATTTTATAATGCGGTTTGTGCATTGGACCCCTTTCCCAAGTGGTTGAATCTGATGATTGCGAGCGCTTCGAAAGAGAACTCAGTCAAAACTTGGTGAAGGAGGCATTTTCCAAGGTTGTGAGTGAATTATCTGCTATTGTCGTCACATCTTTAGCAGTATAATATTGATTTTGAGATCATTTGAGACCTAAACATTGAGCCGGACCTTCTTTTTGAGCTTGCGCGTGTGACGTTAATACGTAAAGACGAATGATGTGGTTTGAAAAACTCACGATTTGATGCCTCTGACTTTTAAGTGACTATTCATTCTCTTGACTCAATACTGCTACCAGCTTTAGTGAATAATGTAGCCATTACATCTCTACCCTCCCCACAGTATGGATACCAACATCATCTGCAGCCATAAATCAGACATAATTTAGTGTAAATCTTTTGTTTATTCATGTTGTGTGTGTTTTTTGTTTGTTCTCTGCAGAAAATAAACAGACGTCTCCACCTGTCCAAGAGTAAAAACACCAAGTTTAACGAGTCTGGCCAGCTATGTGTGTTCTACCTGGTCTCCAGCTTATGGAGCTTCTATATCCTCGCCACTGTAAGACACATACCCACACACACCCCAGCAGAAATATAATATTGTATATATATATATATATATATATATATATATATATAAGATTCTTTATTTACTTTAATATCATTTTCATTTCTTCTCATCTCTGTGCAGGAAGGCTACATTCTGCATCCCAGCAGCCTGTGGGAGAACTACCCTCACTCTCACCTGAGGTACACACGTACATACATCACAGTTCAAAATACATAATTGTATAAAATGACTGAGAAAGCTTTATAACATTTAAAATTAGGTTAATATAAATTTTATATTACATAATTTATCAATATCCAGAATTTTATCCAGAATTTCACATGTCAAGACAACTAACTTGACAAAAATTTCATATAAATAAAATAGCTACTGTGTATTATTTATTAGGGATGCACCAACATTTCAGCTGGCGAAATTTTAGGCCAAAAAAAAAGAAAAAGGTTGAAAATTTTGACCAAAAAAAGCGTATAAAAAAAGTCTACAGCAAAGTGTTAAAATTGAAGTCTTTATGGTTCTGAAAATGAGACATAGAAGCTATAAACGCTTGTATGTTCCACACAGCTGAATAAGAAGTTGCCAGCTTCTTATTCAGATTTTCCGCTCCGCCTTAAAAGCAGTTACATACTGAATGTAATGTTTGCAGCTATGAAGTTTACCACCCTTGTTTGCTTTCCTTTTCCACCAGCCTTTACAGACGTGTTCACACAGTTTAACAGCAGCACTGAGAATGTCAGCCATGTGGAGCTATTTCACAGTTTCTACAAGAGACATTAGACAAGCCATTTATAACCTCTGTTCATGTTGAGCATCTAATGGAGAGAAAACATCCAAACACTTCTCCGTTAGAGGTTTGAAACCACTTGAAAACTCAACATCTGAAAACCAAACGTCCATGTGAGCATGAAGAAATTCACAAATGACAGCCGAAGTGCAAAATTTAACTAAAAATTTATGGAATTCTTTGCCTTGGATGACCAGCCGTCTCTGTTGTTGAGGATGTTGGATTTTGTGGCACGTTCTATAGCAAACGTACTTCAATCATTTTAGGAAGTTCAGTTTAGGTAAACTATTTATTTACGGTCAGCTTTGTTTCTGTTTTGGGACTGTATGTCCTAAATTTTGGTTTCAGTCAAGAACTTACATTTCAATGCATCACTAGTTTTTACTAAATCTAAACAAACTAAATCAAAAATCACTCAATCAAACTAAATCAAACTATTTTGTTTTCTTTCCTGACAATTTATAAAATAAACAAGGAGTAACAAGAATGTTAGCATAGCATAGAAATACAAGCTAACATTTCTCTCTCTCTCTCTCTCTCTTTCTTTTTTCTTTCTTTCTCACTTCTCTCTCTCTCTGACTCTCACTCTGTCTCTCTCTCTCTCTGTCTTTCTGTCTGTTTCTCTCTGTCTTGCTTTCTCTTTTTCTCTCTGTCTCTCTCTCTTCTCTCTGTTTTTCTTTCTGTCTCGCTCTCTCTTCTCTCTGTTTCTCTCTCTCTCTCACTCTCAGGTTCCAGGTGAAGTTTTTCTATCTCACTCAGCTGGCTTATTGGTTTCACGCTCTGCCTGAGCTCTACTTTCAGAAAGTGCGGAAGGTGAGGGGGGCAGAGGAAAAGAGGGAAACAAGTATAAACGAGTATAAGAGTGTAAACAAGAGCAAGTGTAGACATTGATCTGTGTTTGTGTGTTGCAGGAGGAGATTCCTCGTCAGCTGCAGTATATTTCTTTGTACCTGTCTCATATTCTGGCGGCGTACCTGTTAAAGTGAGTCTCAGCGTTTACAGAATCATACGGTGGCTGCGGCCTTTATGCCACAGAAGCAGGAGCACTCGCGGTCAGTTTGAGGACCGATCCTTTGTGCTCCTGCTTGTTTGGAATGAAAACCTGGAACCACACCAGCTCTTTGTGAACAAGACTGGATGTCCCTGTTAAGGCTGTGTTCAGACAGCAGAGTGGGTTCAAAAAATCCATGTCTGAACCACAAGGGGTTCAACTGTGAGGTTTGGAAAGCCGAGAAGGTGCGGAGCAGATCTTTATGGATGGTGTTGTAAGCAGGAAGTTCAACACCACATCACTCTAAATGTATAGCCCAGGGGTCGCAACACAAACGTTAAGAAGAGCCGTTTTGTCCTTGCAACAAAAATGAAACCACCTTATGAGCCACAATATTTTATATCCATCTTACCCTCTTGGCTATAAATATGTCTCAGTATGTGCTACTTACTTTGCTCTGCTTTAAGCTTTAGCTCAGCTGTACCTGCTTTTCTTGCATCTCCAGCAGGAAACTTTTCCGCATAACTGGAATTGTTTCTTGTAAAATGTCTCTCAATGTTCGACTTTTTACGAGGCTGAAGTCGCTTTTCATTCACCAGCTTCTTGTTCGAATTTTCCCGTTCCACCTGAAATGGTGCCTGAGGCGCCAGAATGTAACTGCTGCACCATTTAAGGTGGAATGAGAAACTGACTTCAGCTTCACGACTTTTTAGTGTTTGTCAGTTTCTTGTTGCAGATTAAATGTATCAGGAAACCAGCTGGAGTGATTATGAATTCAAATTTGTCAAAATTCGAAAATAAAGTCAGTTTGTCTCCAAATTATCGATGTTTGTCTTAAATCTCTCTGTTTGCCGTTTCGTTAGCTACTAGCTAGGTGAGGTGTTGCTATGGTGACCAGCAGTCTGTGCTGATCTTCAGGGTTAAAGGGTGAATTAGCAGTTCTACATTAACTCCAGTGTTTAAGACCATTTATTGTTAAACTGTGTTGAACGATCAGCAGAGGTTTATTAAAAAGTGACAAAAGTGACGGCGGCGCTTACCCACTCAATTTGAACGAGTGGAGCCTGTGGAATCCGCATCTTGCCAATAGCGTTTGAGTGGAATGCACTCTGTTGTCTGAACACAGCCTTACACACTGTATTTTATCATATTTTTACTGGAATTTTCAATATTGTTCATATTTACAAGCATTATTTGTAGCTGTTTTGCAAATTACAGTTCTATGCACCCTCTACAGAGAACTTAAAATGTTGCATTTTTTGTGAATTTTAGTGGACAATTTCTGTTGATTTGCTGAGTTTAACAATTTGGGGAAAAAAAACAAAACAAACTAAAACGTAATCTATAAACATGCTGTAGCTTTTGTTTTCCACATGTTAAATTAAAAAAGTGTGTTCATTGTAGAGGATGTGTCAACTTATTTTCACATAGAAAGTCAACAAACGTGTCATTTGACCAAGCTTTTACATGCAAATGCATATGTTTTTGTTTTTGTTCAGCTGTTTAGCTTTTAGATACTGTAATATTATCAGGAGCTTTGCTCATATTTCACTCACTCGTCATGCTGTGTTGGTTGATATGTACTCTCACCTGTTTGTCTGTTTGCATGTATATACATCTGTTTGTTCCTTCTCTCCTTCTCTGCAGTTTGACGCGTGTGGGATTGGTGCTGCTGTTTCTGCAGTACCTCTCTGAGATGGGCTTCCATCTTTCCAGACTCATCTACTTTATCGATGAGACACATCATAAAATGTGAGAGACGTACAAATACATGCTTTTTGTGGGGGGTCGCTGACTTTGTTGCTGCCCTCAATGACCGTTTTATCAGAAATACTTACCATAGATCAATAAATTTACAATACATACAATAACGATAGATCATAAATTAATAATACATGTTGACCACAGGTGCTAAAACTTTTGCATACAAATGCAAGTGCACTTTGTAGGTTTACAGTTACAGACTGTAGCCTATCTGTTTCTGCAATTCATCAACACCCCTCTATCGTGTGCATCACTCAAAAGGGACCACCACAGGACCACCATTGACCAGATATTATTTGGGTGGTCCATTCTCAGCACAGCAGTGACACTGATATGGTAGTGTGGGGGGGACTGATGCAATTATACCAGAGAGTAGAAGCACATTTTTAGATCAGAAGCGGTCATCAGAAGCGTGCAGCAAGCTTCCCGCATCAAGGGATGATGAGTCCATGCTCAAAGCTTCAGGTTAGCTTAATGCAGAAATACAGGCCTATTCTTTGTTAAGGTCAGTGAAGTATTAGTTAAATATCCAAAGCGTTTTCCATGCATGCCACCATAACATCATCTTTGCCACTGCAGCAGCCTTACTGTAAAGTACTGTAATCTCTCTATAGGCAACATTTGATTTATAGACCAGAGTGCTGCAAAAAATAGTATCTTGGCAAATTAAATGACCTCATTATGTTGACCGATTCAGTTTTTGCTTGTTTTAAGTGTATTAAAATGAGCAGTGTTATTATACAGTAGTGAGAGAATTTCACTCATCACTTAAAACAAGTAAAATTGTCTGTAAATAATTAAAATAATCTCATGATCAATTTACAACAATCTCAAAATAAGAGATACTAGATTTAAGATTATTTCACTTGATATCATTTTTTTGCGGTAAAGCAGTCGATTTCTGGTCTGGATTTTTGTGTTTATTTTGTTTAGATTTTGTATATTCATCTATTTAAATAACACTTAATAAAGCAATTTATTCACAGATTTGGTCATAATAAATGTTTATGTTGATCTCTGAGCTGCTATCATACATCTTCCAACATTTACCGTGCAAGTATTTAGTAAATATGCACGTTGTTCTTTACAAAATTAGAATCTTATCGAATCTTAAGTGACCTCACTTCTAAGTGTAAATTTCCCTTAATCAAGAATCATGCAGCCCTACTATATGGTATGTTTTTTTGTTTTTTTTTATTATTATTATTATTATTATTAAAATGGGCAATAGCTGGACCTAATACACCAGCAGCTGTTATATATATTTATTTTGTGTTTACAGGTTCGAGCTGTGGTCAGTAGGGTTTGTTCTGACCCGTATGGTGACTCTGACGCTGATGTTCTTGGCTGTGGGCTTCGGTTTGGCGCGGTCAGAAAATCAAACCCTCGACTGGGAGGCAGGCAACTTCAACACACTCTCCATCAGGTTAGACGCACACCGTCTCACACAGACACTTTGACTCAGGGTGGGCTTGTTAAAAGTAAGGTCAGCCGCTTTAAGCTGAAATAATTTTTTGCAATATTCTGCAAAGTTCTCATCACATTTCAGCAGCAGTCAACAAAATATATGCTCAGAGTAATAAAGTCCGGAGGAAAAACGATTGCTGTGGACCACCACCGTCCAGCCAGTCAGGACAAGGAGGCACTTATGCTTGAGTTTAAGTCACCTGAGTTGTTATAAGACTTGAGCTGTGGACATAATAAAATTCAGCATTTGAATATTTGTTGGGAAAACAAAGCAAATTCAAATGCAGAAAACGTCCATTTAGTTGTTTAAAGACTGCATGCAGTTAATAACATGATCACAAATGGCAACTAATAAACTGAGGGAAGAACATAAACAGTAGGTATTTTTGGCTTTAATTAGAATTGTATGGTGTTTTTTTTTGTGCTCTGGGGATTTTTGCAAACAACTGACAGGTTTTTAGCAGCTCAGTTTGTTCTGTACGGTGTAATTTATTTACTTTATAAACGGAATAATGTTAATGTTCTGACTATGTTCTGACTTTTCTGACTAGCTAGTGTTCTGACAGTTCATAGTGTATAAAAATTCACATTTAATTTCTGATCCCATCAGACAGCCCTCGATTAGACTCACTGCAACAGCTTTAGTTTTCTTCAAAAAGTTTTGATTGGCTGTTTCACGAAATTTGTTGAGACGCTTCCAGCAGTTGCGGCTGAGTTTCACGTGAGTTGCAAGACATTCTACATTATGCAACTCAAGTACAATTACTTTCATGTAGGTTTCGAGCAACTAAAGTTGCATGAAAGTTTCATCATGTGAAGGCAGCCTGTTTAAGGCGCAACCAGAGTTCTTCACATCACTTATTTTTACTTATTACACTCAATGTGTGGTTTACAATAGACTCTACACCCGTAACGACGGTGAGATGTACTGCTATGCACACACCCTGATCTGTGTGTGTGTGTGTGTGTGTGTGTGTGTGTGTGTGTTCAGGTTGCTGGTGTTGTTCTTAGTGTGTTCCACCCAGTCGTGGCTGCTGTGGAAGTTCTTCCGTTTCCAGTTGAGGCGAACACGGGAGTACAGACTGGAACAGGCCAGGAAAAGAGCAGCCGCCAAGCAGCAAACTCCCCGCGCACTGAAAAGAGACTCAGGTACACACACACACACACACAAACACACACAAACACACACACACATAACGCTCATACTCAAACGAGTCATTTCATGTAGTCACATTTGTTTTATTTCCTCAAATTTGACTCTAAAATTATATTTTTTTCCATTTAAAGAAACAGTGCGTTTTATCATAGCTGGAGTTGTATGCAAAACTTCAACACCCCCACCCACACACAGTCAGATGACATGATTTGACGATTTTCTAAGTAAAAATAAGTCAAAGCGGAGAACACATGTTGTACGTTATCCAGGTTTAAATGGAAAAATGAACCTTAAATAAAGAAATATATCAATTGATTCTAACATGCTCATCCTGTACAACTTCAGTTTTCAGATAACTGGCGGGACACCAGGAAGCTGGAAATAACTATAGGTTAATCTAAAATGACTGAAAAAGAATCAAGAGTGAACAATAAAATATCTAGAATTCGTCATGTTTCAAAAGTGGAGACAATGAGAAATGATTGCAAATAGATACAGTACATTGTAGACCTGTCACAATTATTACATAATCACCTAATCACAATTATCTGAGATGAATAATTTTCACAACCACAGTTGCTAGATACGAACAATGTAAACTGGGCGAGTTGAGGCAAATAACAGAAAGCAGTAAAGCGTTCACCGAGACGTCATGGGTCGTATGGAAAATAGTGTTTTCCTTATTTTCACTTATGAAGAAGAACATTAAACTTTGCTCGACTCTACACATTATACTGTCTAACTCTAGACGTTTCAATGAGTGTATTGATTCGACTGTACAGCTAATAATTAAATCATTAATCAGAATTATGACAATCAGCAGCTAAAATCTTATGATTGTGACAACCCTGGTATATCGTTTAATAATGTCTTAATGTTTTGTGTTCATAAAATACTTGGAACACTGGAGGAAACATCTGAAAATACCATTCTAGTTTAAAATATGTACATTTACATTGATATATCTACATTGCGTAAGTTATTATCGTGTGTATATAATATAATAAATTGTCACAAGTGATTACAAACGTCTGAAAATCTCACTGTTACGGTGTTAAAGAGACAAACATTGCGTGACGCACTGTCACCACTGAAAAGTGATACAGGTTCTACTCTGTGCAGGCTGTAGCATTTTAGATAACATCCTTCAATTGTTGTCATTTGTGAGCGGGAGAAACCTGACCGGGAAGGAATTTTGTATTAATAGGTCAAAATATGCGTCAGACGCTCTTCAGTTACACAGCGACAGTGCTGAGTGTTCCACAGGGCAGATCCGGTTTCTTTGCATAGGTGTGTGCGAACATATTACCAGTGTAATATTCATTACTTTGTATTTATAACAAGTGTAACTGACCATTTATACCATTTTTTTTTTTATACTTATCACTGTCGTATCAAACCCTTGAAGCTCATTGAGAAACTCTATGATGAATAGAATAGAAATAATCGACCTGTACTACACGCTTAAAAAGAGATGGTGCTTCATGGGTTCTTTAGTAAAGAAAATGTTTCTATATGGAACCATGAACACTCAGAGAACCCATTACATGACTAAAGGGTTCTTTGCATCATGAAAGGGTTCTTCAGATTGATAGAAAATGTGCTGTAGATGGTTCTATATAGAACCTTTTTAAAAAGGGTTCTGTGTAGCACCAAAAAGCGTTCTTCTATTGTTACAAGCTTGACACCGTAACAATAGAAGAACCCTTTTTGGTACTATATGCTTTTGGGTGCCGTGTTAGAACCCTTTTCAAAAAGGCTCTATATAGAACTGTCTTTAGCACATTTATGCACATTTTCCATCAATCTGAAGAACTCTTTCGCAATGCAAAGAACCCGTTCATGGTTCTAAATAGAACTATTCGCTTTACTACAAAATCATGAAGCACAATCTAATTTTTTTTTAGTAGTGTAGGAATAAAATGTTGTTCCATTATCGTACATATAAAGGGCCCATCAGCAATATTTTATGTTTTATTTTATAATAACAATAACAATAGTACTACTACTAATAATAATCTTTTTATTTAGATAGCACCTCTTACATTAAAACGCAGCTCAAAGTGGAGGGCTAATAAAAAAGCCAGCATAAGAAAAGAAAAAAATGGGGGTGAAAAATGTATAAAATATAAAAATTCTAGAAATAAGTCATAAAAAAACCAATAAGTGTACATTATATAAAACAACATTTTTTATTGAAATAAGAAAAATGTAATGATTTAAAATAAATAAAAGCTCATAAAAGTGTCAATACAATAAATAAAACAAGAGAAAAGGCTACTTTTTAGAACTGCTGACTGAAGATGCTGCTGTTGTGGGAGGAAGTTTCCAACCTTTAATTTTTCCAACCTTTAATTTATTCCTTAGAATTAAACAGCCTGTTTTTGTTACTGTGTATTCCAGGGGAATTCCACTGTTTGTGGTTTTGTCCCAAAATTTCTGCATAATTCATGAATTGCAATGTAAACAAAGTCATTCTGAGTGATTTAATGTGAAATGGCAGAGAAACTCAGACATTTTCCTTGGGTACTCCTGCATGTACCTCTCTGTCTGAGCTGAAACACTCCTTTTAACTTATAACTGTCAGTTTTTGCAGCTTAATTTCCTTATATAGACATTTATGAACATTGTTTTCCTCTCTGGCGTTGGAGATACAGTCTGCTGTGCTACTCTTGCTGCTCTGCTGCTCTAAAACAGTTGAACTTCCCTTTGAAAATGACTAAACGTTCTTATTTGGTGTGTCTTCTAGTTGGTCACCATGAGAACGGAGTTCTTAAGGCGGAGAACGGAACGTCACCCAGACTGAAGAAGCTTAAAGCCCCTTAACCCCGCCTCCTCCTTAGGGCTGGTCGTGCAACACAGGACAGGAATCGTGAACTGCTTCCTGCTCAGATCTTCAGAGACTGAGGGTGGTTCAGCATTTCACACAGGATGTGACATCACGTTGATATTTGCACCCTCGAAAGACCATCAGCTTTTCTTTTCATTCTTTTTATGTTTCATTATCAGTATTTGTTACATTCCTTGCATTTGCTTTATCAGTTTTCCTCACCCATCAGCAGCTTCTAAAGCCATTTTTGCCTTCAATGTTTTCTGAATCAGTACTGTATTACTGACCTGCCCTGGGGAGGTGCTAAAAGGACCTAAAGCGGTCCAGGAAGGACCCCCAGTGAGCAGGTCAACCCCAAAGTGTGAATATTAAAGCGATAGTTTGGCGATAAATATCAAATTATTGTAATTTTCTCCTTTATCCCAAATTTAGTTGGTCAGCACTATGTTTACTGGTGGTGTATAAGCTTCCGTTGCTTGGTAGCTACATGTAGTAGTGGTTGAAATTTGTCCTCAGATGTGAGCTTTGCCAGAACCGTTATAGCAGTATATCACAAATAATCACAGATAACACGACGTACAGACAATGCAAACCATGCTAACGTTAGCGCGTTTAGCTGAGTGTCTGAGTCAGAGATGTTTCTGTCACGTTTCAAATAAAAATTAAGACCCTCGATCTCCTCCTGCTGTCTAGTCCATGTAGTACAAAGTAGTCCGCTTTGTTTTCAAGGCTGTGGACATAAAGGAATAGCCAGTCTTTTAGGGTTAGCCTTAGCCTAACGTGGACGAGGAGCCACCTGACTGGGTCAGACAGTGTTGTGGTCTTCCTACCTTGTCTGCATAACAAGCCATGGACAAGCTGGTACTGATAGCTTGAGTGGCTGTATTTTCCGATTTTCCAGCAGCGTAACTGTCGGAGGGGCAAGCGTGTGGGACAAATGACTTGCGAAGCTAAAGTTGGCGTCTTATTCAAATTTGCCGTTCCACCTTAAATGGTGCAGCAGTTACGTTCAATCACCTGTACCGATGCCAGAATGTAGCTGCTGCTCCTTTTAAGGTGGAACGGAATACTCAAACAAAAAGCTACCAGACTTCAGCTTTGTAGTTTACGCGTTACTTAACGTTTAGCACTGTTTTTGCCAGAAAGCAGTATTGACAGGTTTATCTGTTTTGTTTTTTAATATTTTGCACAATAAATATATCTCAGATTTACTTGAGTTCTTTAAAATGGTTCTTTTTTTTAAAAAAAATGATGGGACATCCCAGTAAAATAAGCCACTGTTAAGCTACAAAAATGGGTTAGTTAAGCATCTAAAGGGGTTTTATTTAAAAAAAAAAAAAATGTTATAGTGTGATATACATTTTTGGCCCACCACTAGCTAAATGAGCCTTGTAGCTCCAGTGCAAGACTAAAGAATCAGACTTCAGACTCTGAACATGTCTTGGCTGATCAACTACATTTAAGGTAACGGAGAAAAAGGTGTAAATTTGATTCTTTTTGCTAAACTATCACTTTAAAAAATAAAGGGCTGATTGTCGAGAGCTGGGTCTCGTAGACACCCTCTCTATCTGTGCCTTCAACTGAGCAACAGGAACTGAAAATAAAAGGGATAAAAGACCAGATTTTTAAGAAATCGTATGTTTCAAGTAACAAAAACATCATACAGTATCTACACATCAATACCTGTAAGGGCTGCATATATATGGCATGTGCAGTGAGTCAGAGGTTTGGACACACCTTACTGAATGATTTTCGTAATCTTAAAAGGGCTTTTCTTGTCATTTTTGTGTTTGTACATGAGCATTTCCAAACTGTCTTTATCCCTTAGAACTAAACAGGGTGTTTTTTGGTACTATGTCTTAAAAGGGGAATTCCACCAGTTGTTCAAAATTTCTGTATAATTCTGTCATTAAGATGTAAAGAAAGTCAGTCAGAGTGCTTTGATGTAAAATGACTCGCTATAAAGAAACTTACAGACTCAGATTTCTTTACAGTGGTGGTGGTAGGAACCAGGGGTCACAGTTTATTAACTCTCCAGGACCACCAGTGAACCTACACGTCTTTAAGAGGGAGGCTACATCGAAGAACCGAAAATAGAGTTTGACACTTGTTTGGTTACTTCACGATAATATGTGTTATTTCATTGTTTTGATGTCCTCACTGTTATTCTGAAATGCAAAATGGGGGGAAAAAAAAGGAAAACCCTTCTGTGAGTAGGTGTGTCCAAACTTTTGGTATCTGTGCGGCAGCAGCTTTATTGCAACACTTGTAAAGGGGAATTCCACCAGTCACTCATTGATTTATGTGAAATGCTCCATTCTACACAAACGGAGTCAGAATGGTTGTGATAGGAACCAGGCGTCTGAGAGGTTTAATGGTTATGAATACACCACATAGTGCCTGAGGCGTTGTTTTATGATAGTTTTGAGATAATGTTTAGATATGAACATTTTACCTGCAGGGTGTTCTAAGGCAAAACTGTACCCAAAGAAAGCTTGGTCCCCTGGTTGACCCCTGGTTCCTATAACCACCACTGTAAAGAATCTGAGTTGGCAAGGTTCTCTACAATGAGCCATATCATAAACTACTCTAAATGACTTTGTTTGGATGTTACCCACTGGACTATGCCGAAATTGATGGAAATGTAGATCAGTGGAGGAATTCCCCTTTAAGAAAGTGTTTGAAAGGGCATTTGTTATTTAGCACACAATGCTTCTAGGAAAGAGGACCCTAGTTCATTTGCCAGATTTGGCCTTGTAGGGAATGCAGCTCTTAGTTGAGTCTTCCTGTTGTGAAAGTGAAGGCCAATTTTGAGGCAGGAGTGTACAACTTTTTTAAAGGGGAATTCCACCACATTTAAAAAAAAAAATTCTACATAATTCAGTGGTCGAGATGTAAACGAAGTCGGTCATTGTGGTTTGATGTGAAATGGTCTGTTCTAGAGAAACTTACAACAGTGGTAGTGGTCGCGATGTTGAACACAAATATAGCCACTTTATTTAAACCAGAAACCACCAGTGAATCTGCATGTACGTCTCCATTACGAATGGATTTTAAAAGTACCTTTTAGACCAAAAACGTATATGAAAACCATCATAAAACATAATCAGGCATCAGCAGCATATTTGTAACAATTTCATGTGATAACTTTCTGTGAGGGAGCTTTTAGAGGCAGACGTCTGGTTCCTATCACCACCACCGTGAACAAGTCTGGCTTTAAGTTTCTCTAGAACGGAGCACTTCACACCAAACCATCCTGAATGACTTTCTTTACATCTTAATAATTCATTTATGCAGAAATTTTGAGAAATCGGTGGAATTCCCCTTTAAAGGGGCCAGTTTCTTCAAACCCAGAACCACAAACCTCCATGTTTACCCCTCTGGCACTATGACGTTTTATATAGGTGTTTATTAGAGCAAGTATTTCAGTTTGTTAGAGAACCATTGTACTTATGGACTGTATAGTGTTTACTGGTGGGCCATATTTTAGGCCCTGGGCTTTATGTACTGCACCTGATCGAGGCCGTCGATACACACACACACACAGACCCCTGCATGAACTCACACACTTGCAGAGCTGTAATGCCTGGTTGCACAGATTCTATAATACATTATGATTAATGGAGTTTCTACTACAGTGCTTTATATATTTGTGGGTTATGTGAATGTACATGACAGTGCTTTATAAATATTGATCTTTTTTGACAAATGGAGTGAACGTTCTTTGTAGGCTTTTTTCTGGTTGAAGAGAATTGCTCTGAATGCCAGCGTTAATTTCACAGAGAAAGCAAAATGGTTCTCACATGGTTTATTTATGCAGGGATGCATCTATATCATCATTATTAGCCTCAGAGTGGCAGAAACTAAACAATAAAGCAAAATAGCTGGGAAATGTCATGAAGAGGGGCAATGCTGGAGCCAGTGATGATGAAAAGAAAACCATGCATCGTATTGACAGGGATTAAATGACATTGTGCAATACAGAATAGAAACGGCTGAATCTTTAGCCGTCTGAAAAAGGGAATGAGCGTCTCTGCTGCAGGAGGAGTCTAGAAGTTCAGGAAGAAGGTGGAAGTCCTTCATCTGTGAAGGAAAAAACAAAGAAAAAACCTTCAATAGCAAGGAATAGTTTGGTAAAAAAGCCAATCTAAACTAAATTCAGGCCTCAAAATGGCTGCTACTGCTATTTTTAGCTACGTGACGTACTTTAGGCCATGTTTATAGGTAACAGTGTGTCATTCAATAGCAGAAACCACGTAAGCAAGTCTGTTAGAGGTTACGTAACAAGTCGACCAAGTTTAAAAGAATTGTGTGTTTTGAACGCTGCATGTCTCCCTCAAACTCATGTCTGGTAGGTGTGCATGTAAATTTGACTATTTAAACAGCCAGAAAAATGTAACTGGATGGGAGCATTAAAATATTGAATAAAACTGGCCCTAGTACTGACCCCTGTGGAACACCGTAGGTAATAGTGGTGCAAGACAAGCCATTATTTCTGCCACAAGAGGTGCTCTTTTACTTACGCAAGCAGAAATAGGCACATACAAACACAGCCAGGGAGCAGGCAGGTCACTTCTAGCCATTTGTTTTCTCCTTACTATACACAACCCGCCAGCAAATAACTGTCTACACAGCAATCCCTGCACTGAAAAGGATATCAGCCCTAAAATAGCATTTGGTGCTTCATAAGAGTGGTGCTTCACCTTTGTGACACTTATTGTCTTTGTTTTATGAAGAATGTCTTTGGCCAGTGTCTACAAGTGTGGATGATGGCTGCGATGTACACAATTTGTTAACAAAATATCGTTATGTTGTCCACTCCTACCGACTGATTTTCAATCTGCAGTTGTGGTGACTGTACCTGGGGTCGCCTCAGGCAGGTTCTGGGGCATGTGGTTTGAGTCCAGCGCTTTGCTCTGACCTAAAGCCTGTCTCAGTGAGGACAGCGTCTGCTCCGGGATTCGATCCTGCTCTGCGACCGACTCGAGGTAGCCGAGTACATACTGGTCAGCGTCCGTCAACACAAACCGGTGCCTAAACACTAATCAACACATAAGGGTAAAACGGGAGTCAGCATGTGGTGGAGAACAGAAGAAGAGCAGATTAGTGACATTAATGACTGGGGGTGTAACAATATGCACAATTTTGAATTTGATTCAATACGATTCAGTCGTGTCTCGAAACATTTTCAGGTT